TATCAGTTCTAAACTGTTCTCCCTCGAGGTTCAGTAAGGATCATCCTAATTTCATCCAGTGTTACTACAGGAAGAAACGTGAACTAAACAGCTCTACAGTTCTAAACTGTTCCAGTAAGAGCCGTCGCTTTAATGTTCTAGTATATATGTACTGCAGTTTTACAACAGCGCGGAATCAGAAAAAAATTCGCACGGTTTTCAATTGCTTGAATTAAAAAGTACGCAAAATCACGCATGGACTTACCGTACTCTCGGACCTCAAATTGTATCGAAGCATTTTGTACCAGCTGTAGAAACAATAAAAAAACAGTGATTACAGAAAAGATAGCAGGATCATATAAACGTAGGTAAAAGCTGCAATGAGCACATTTTTGCTGCGATTTGAGGTGCGTTTTTTCTTCTTCTGATAAGTCTGAATGAGGGGATGAGTTTTGAATGTTCAGACGAGGAGGGTACATGTATTCGCCTAATCGCATCAGAAGACGAAAATCGCACTAGAAATCGCAGAAAAAATTGCAAGTGTAAATGGGCCTTAGGTGATATTGTTGCACTCACTCCATGGCCATATAAGGCACTAATAGTCCACATCCCAAGCATCACGTTGTCCGATAAATCCAAGCGACGCGAGAAGAAGCCTGGAAACAAACGCAAAACGTTGTATACTACATTGGTAGTAGCATGGTTTCGAGTACAATTAGTAGAAAAAATGCACCAATGAATTTTTCAAAGACGATCAAAATTGAAAAAGTCTGTAGAACGAGTCCAATTTGAAGTCATTGAAAAAATCACGAGCGAGCGCTTGTTTTTCCAAATTGGACGAGAAACCATATTGCTGATTATGTACTTATTAATTCGGAATGTACATGAAAACATTATGTAGAAAGGTATTATTAGAGTATTATTAAATACCAATATCACAATAGAAAAACGCAGACCTTCATTTGTGTTAAGATTTCCCCATCTTTCCACACGAATACCTTGGGGATTCTGAAATATAATATCAACAAAACAGTCACTATGTTAGAACGAGAAAAACTACAATCGCCGAAGAAAACGAAAAAAGACAACGGCATATATTTTCTGTTGCGTTCGTATATAGCAAAGTCCTCACCAGCACTTCTATTGTCACCTATAACGGAAAATAAAAAGAACTTGGTTATACAGGATGTCTCAAAAAAAGGAAGACCTTTAGAAATTTACCTTATTGTTATAATTTGAATGCTTGAGCACTAAGCTGAACCTACTGGTGCGTAAAACAGAAGAGGAAAATTTTCTGCAGTTATTTAAAAGTCAAAACTTTAATTTTGTTTCGTCCAACACATGAATTGTGTACTGAACTGGTGGTATGACTAATTATAGTAATTTGACAATTTTGATGCAGTCTATGCATGCTCCTTTATGTTATTAGAAGTTATCTTTCCCAGAAGCAGAAAATAGTCTTGTGTTTCACAAGGATATTTTAATTTCTAAAGGCCTCCTTTTAAATACATGCACCCTGACCCTGTCAATATTTTTACAGACTGTAGGTTCAGCATAGTGCTCGGGCATTCAAATTATGAATACTAGGATAACTCAAATTATTAGCACTGATGAAGATCCGGGCTTACGGATCGAAAGCTTTGCAGTAATAAATCTATACGTGGTGTTTCCACAAACAAAATATTATATCTTTTATCGCCATGCAAAGTGCAAACCTACAAAGAACTTAATTGGATAACTCCTATAAGGTCTACTTGTAAAAACATCACCTACACATGACAAATAAATACTTACATTATTCATCGAGGCTTTTAGATCGAGGCCAAGAGGAACGACACGCAGGTTGACTAAACAAAATAATTTTTAATTCAGTAATGATTTCAGACATTTAATGATTTTGGATGAGACTCAGGGCCTTTTTTAACATACAAGCTGGGGGGGCATTTGCCCCCCGAGTCCCCCCTTGTGCCCCCCCACGAAATCACATTTTGCCCCCCCAGGAAAAGTCCCTTTTTCCTAAATGTATACCAACAAAACAGCGAAGAATAACAAATAAATAAACGGAAAGTAAGTTTTAGGCTTTATCCTTTGTCCTTGTTTAACAAAATCGATCTAAATTGTTACGTTTTTCTACCACTAAGTAATGATAAATTATTGTTAATAATTTTTTATTTTTTGGTTGCTCAGAAGGCAGGAAAGAGCATTTCCAGGTTTCAAATTTGAAAAATTTTCTGGAGATTATGCCCCCACACACATGGCCTTCGGGCATTGGTATCCCCCTGTAATAAGTATAATGATAAATTATGGTTAATATTCTATTTTACTTTTTGTGCATTTTTTCCTTCTTTTATTTCAAATACAAGTATAGTTAGCATAAATTTTAGAGCAAATTTGGATGCTCAGAATGCAGGAAATGGCATTTCCGTGTTTCAAATTTCAAAAATTTTCTGAGGGAGTACACCCCCACACACGTGACCATTGGGATCCTCCTCTAATAAGTAATGATAAATTATGGTTAATATTTTTTTTTAACTTTTTGTGGGGTTTTTCCTTCTTTTATTTCATTTTGGAGCGCATTTGGATGCTCAGAATGCAGGAAATGGCATTTCTGTGCTTCAAATTTCAAAAATTTTCTGGGGGAGTACACCCCCCTCATTCATGCGTGCATGGTATGTTCGGCGCACACGTGGCCTTCAGCCATTGCTATCTCCCTGTAATATATTATCTCACAGAAAGGTCCCTTTTCAAAAAATGCCCCCCCACGGGAAAATCCTTAAAAAAGGCCCTGATGAGACTCCGTACATCATTGCTATTTATACCTGTTTGGCCTGGGTTGTAGATGGGTTTGTCAGTTTGGATAAAGACCATGGAATTCTGATAGCTGACAAGAACCTTGATTTCATTGTTGAACTGAAATCCGGGCGAGCTTGAGCTTGCTTTGAGATAAACATATTGTTTGTCCAGAGACTTCTGGTCATGTAGGTCTTTCGCGTTCACCTGAGGGAAGTATACAAAGAAAATAATATGTAATTCAATAAATACAACCAACACTTGCAAACTTTATTTATACTGGATAACTCTATAAGTTTTAAACTGTTCCCCCTAGAGGTCCAATGAGGATCATTTCTAATTACTGATCCAATGTTACTACAGGAGGAAACCTAAACTAAACTAACTTTATTTATACTTGATAGCCTTTATTATCAGTTTTAAACTGTTTTCCCTAGAGGTCCAGTAAGGATCATCTCTTATTGATCCAGTGTTACTACAGGAGGAAACCTAAACTAAACTGCTCTCCCTAGAGGTCAAGTAAAGATCATCTCTTATTGATCCAGTACTACAGGAAGAAACCTAAACTAAACTAAATTTGCTTATACTTGATAGCTTTTATTATCAATTTTAAACTGTTTTCCCTAGAGGTCCAGTAAGGATCATCTCTTAATTATTGATCCAGACAAGTGTTACTACAGGAGGAAACCTAAACTAAACTAAATTTACTTATAGCCCTATCAGTTCTAAACTGCTCTCCCTAGAGGTTCAGTTAGGATCATCTCTTATTGATCCAGTGTTAATAAAGGAAACCTAAAATATCTTTATTTATACTGAACAGCTCTATCAGTTCTAAACTGTTCTCTCTACAGTCTCTAGTCCAGCAAGGCAACAAGGTAGGCCAAGTGCTATTACAGGGCGAAACGGATATACCGGAGAAAATCTAGGGGGTTTGGAAACTCTAAAACAAAATGGCCACTCCTGACTCCTTAACCAGTGCTTCCTTGCAAAGATCGGCAATACAATCAATTGGCTCTTCGACCCACCTTTATTTTCAAAAGTCCAGGTTGTTCTAATTAAAGAAAAATACAATATAAAAACAATTAGCAAATGGTCCAGAAACGAAACTAAAACCACAACAAGTATTAACAAATTTCAAGGGCAAAATACGTACGTTTTCTAAACGTTCCTCTAACTTGAGAGAATGTTCTCTTCCGGTTTGGAAAGTCTTGAAGCGAAAGTTGAATGTCGACGTCAACATTCACATCGAAGACAGAAATTGATACTGTTTCTTCGACGCCCACACGAAGCAGATTTGGAGCAGCTATAAAATATTTCGCCCTGCAAGAGATAATTTTTAAAGTCTAAGTCAGGTTTCGAATTTCTGTTGGCGTCTGACATTTTGTCTTTGTGTTTTTTCAATATTCTATTGTTAGTAAAACCCGTTTGCCATTTCAATGGTTTTCATTCAAACGGAGCGTAAAATTCAGGAAACTACACTGGAGGCAGCCCTGTGGCTGTACATATGAAGAAACCATCAGGAAAAACGTTTAACCAGTGGCAACGACCCGTCGACCCTCGTTCTGTCTGTTCCGAACCCGAGTCTCGGAAACGGTATTTCCTAAGAGTACGTTGCAGAAAATACAATTGTCTTATTACAACATTACATAACACACTTGTTAGTTGTTACAAATGAAAACGGTTTCTTCCTGCAGATAAAATGTTTCCCGACAGGAAATTAGAGTTCCCCAACACGGTTCAACCATTGGAAGCAACTTAAATGTTCTTGATAAGACTTGGTACAATCACCGTCCTCGTGATTTGCTGGTTATCGATTGATCGTTGCACTATTTCTATCTGAAGTTTATTTTATTTTTGCAAGGCAAAGAAAACAATGCGAAAAAACTACCGGAACAACGTTATCATGAATATCTAAAACGTACGATTTAACTTGATAGCAAAAATGTGTTTGCAAACGACCTGATATAACTATGTGTCTCCGGTCAAGATCCTGTGATCGGGACATTCCATTGTCTTCTCATTGTTTTGGAAATCCTACCGATCTCCAAGCCATCCAGTTAATCAGTTCTTATTCTAGAAAGAGCCTACCGGATATCATTTCTACTAGAAAATTCAAATCCAAAATTTGGATCCAAATACGGAGTTCAACTAAACCCCCACTTTCTCCATGCAAGATTTTTGCCATATCTCATTATAATGGCGTGTGACTGAGCATGTTATCGATATGAACATTTGTACATTGCGCGAAAATACACTAAACCAGGCAATTTTCTAAATTTTGCGCACCTAAGCTAATTTGGCGATTTGTCCACTTGCGCATCTAATGCTAATTTCGCGCAAATAATGTTAATTTCACGCACATTTTGCGCATTTTCAGCACATTTTGCGCTGATACCATAAATTTGCGCAACTAATCTTAATTTCGCGCAATTAATGTTAATTTGCGTTCGCGCAACAAATGTTGATTTGGCGCACGTCGCACGACTGAAATACTGAACCAATCCGCTCTAAGACCATAATCTTCAAAATTGTGTTTATTATGATGCGGGTAATATGCAAACAGTATGAAATGTATATTTTATACAACTATTTGCTAGTTCTACTAGAGTATTAAAATTGCGCGCACGACAGATCGTGAAAGACAACGGTATTATACGCAATTGAACCAAACGTTTCAGTCTAGAGATGCTAAAATATTATCGAAATGCCATAATATACTTACGCGTAACATCGGTCCAAACACAGCAGCAAAGCCAAGCCGACCACGGCTCGTAGCGTCTTCATATCTTGCGGTTCGCTCTATCAATTTCTGTATGCAAGAAATCTTAGCAATACAATGGGTAATATTGACTCGACAAAGCGCGGAAGTTGTTTAGCCTCAGCAGGAATAATGATATCATGTTATACCTTTGGTGATACAGGATGAGCAAAGTGCTGAAGCGATTGACGTAATGAAAGAAGGTCAAGGCACTCTCAATAAATCTCGGTGATAAGTGACATGTTATGCATGCAAGCATATATGACCTCACAAGCAAATGTACATTTTCGATTCCAATCAATCCAGTGATTTATTTCGAAATATGTTTTCGAAATATTTTCTAACAAACTGTAAATTTCAAGGCGATGAATTAACCAAGAACGATTGATTCAACTCCTCGAAACTTGCAGTGAAGATATATGTTTTGTATTTTTCTATTAAGTATTTGGAAAGTAAACCAAAAATTTTTAGAACCACTGAGTATTTTAATAAAATACAAAACAAGTCATCAGACATCATCAGGATAAACTATGATGACTGAAATATAACAGTTTATCCTGATGATGACTGAAATATAGTCGAAACGTAGATAAATAAAAATGTTATCGATTTTTGGAGTTTCACTTGTTTTGTATTTTATTTCCGAATTAAAAAAAGATTTTGCCAGTTGCATGGTTCTGCGAGTTGCCCTCTTTCAATAGTGTTCTGCGTAACTTGTACGTCCTTGTAACCAGCACCTGTGATATAAACGTGGTCACCACGCTTGCATTTGAAGCTGCGAGACCCGCGGGTTTAATCCTTGGTCAGACCTCTACTCAAGGTCTTAATATAATTGAGGAGAAAGTGCTACCTTTACATTGACATCAGTAAATGGTTAGACTTTCGCGTCTTCTCGGATAAGGACGTTAAAATCGTAGGTACCTCGGATCCCCTATCAATTGTGCAATAGTTTGTTGGGAAATCCGCTCACCGATGAGTGAAAAACTTAATAAACTCAAAAGACAAAAAAACTTGTAGTCTGACTACAAAACAAAACATATAACGTCAAATAACTTTAATTTTTGTTCTTGGAAAATTTTACGTCGGAAATATATTTGAAGACGCATCTGGTTTCTAAATATCACCAATTCACAGCATGTTTAATAATATTTGTGAGTGTGTGGACAGACACAGCTCATGTATCATGCATTCAACATGTCAACAATTTCTGCCCATGCCAAAACGTTTGAACTTGTTTCAGCGTAATTCTATCCATCACTTCCTACAACTGCTGAGAAAAAACCACAAGATAATAACAGGAAGTGTTCATCTGTGGTTCATCATATCATATTTTCTTATTCCACGGAGTTTGACTCTACCGAATATCACATTACTAAGCTATGAAAGAGATGACCAATGGACAATAATTACTTATCAAAGCTCCTACCGGAATTTACTTGTCCTGGATGTAAAAGTACATACATCGATAAAACGGATCGCTGCTTCTACTTCTACACAAGAATCGAAGAATAGTCACTGGACTATAAATCAAGGACATTGGCAATACAAAATTAGTTTAGTTCATTTGCCAAAGGACTCTTAAAACTATATATTAAATTCTACTACAGATTGTTTATATCTTGCTTAGTTTTCAAAATATTTCGACAGAAAAAAGTGAGCTGTTCGCCATCTTGGATTATTGAAGATATGCATGTCACGTCAAGAGAGGGGACACGCTAATTTTTATTTTGAGAGTTAGCGATCAATATGGATCCAAAACTTCGTTTCTGGTTGCTGTCTGAAATTTAGAAATGATTAAAAACATTTCAAACAATTTTGGATTGTTACTCGGTCATTCTAGAGTAGTTATATGGTTAACCCAACTCCTGACGTCATCAAAACCATAGTTAATACGGTCAAGAACCAGTCCAAGATGGTGGAAAGCTCATTAATTTCGGTCTAAATATTTCGACAAGCAAGATATGACAAATCGGTAATAGAGTTTAACATATAATTTTAAGAGTTCTTTTGAATGAGACAAACTAATTTTTTATTGCCAATGTCCTTTAACTTTATATCATGCAAACATTTTCAACATAAAACTTTATCCTGACGATGAGACTACTGTAACTCCAACTATATAACTTGTGTACTGCCAGAATTTATATTTAATAACTGTAAGAATATAGACAGATTTGATCATCATACAAAGATGTATTTGCAACCTACACCGCCAATCAGCTATTCGCAATCTTGTTTGCAAGACTCGCTGTAAAAAAAGCATGCTCGCAGCACCGTTGAACTCGGTTGAAGAATCGTAAATGTTGTATAAATAAATAAACATCCCAATAAACAAACGAGAAATTAAAAGCACCTACTTGCTGTTATGAATATGATATACTTCACATTGTACCTTATAATATATATATTACTACATCGAAAAAATAAACAAAATAAACAAAAAGAACTAATATGTTGCAATACTGTAATTCTACAATTTACTGCTATCAACATTTGGAAATTTGACAACTTCCATTCCACTTTTCAACACACCGTTTTCATTTAGTATATGAGTGTCATCTGAAACAGACCGGCCCGACTTCTAACCGCGCATATAAGGAGTCTGAGCTCGAGAGTAAGAAATCGGTAATAGGAAGAAGTTCAAACCTTCTGACTGTCACTTCAAGGGAGCCCAAACCATGCGACTCGGTTGAATTCACCTGAAAAAAAAAACACATTAAAAAATCCAGTGACAAGAAGCTCGTAACATCTTGTTACGAGATGTTACGGGCAGCCTGTATTGGTCTTGTTGGAACAACTTGCAACAAGTCTGTTACCGTCATCAACATTGTAACAAAGTGATGACAACTTGTTCCAGACTTGTCACAACAACTGGGAACAAGCAGTGTGAACACATCCTGATATCGGCTTGACAACAACCTTGTTACAACTTGTTTCCAGATCTGTATCAAATTGGGTCTGTTGCCCAAACCTGGATTAGCGCTAACCCTCGATGAAACTTCAACCTGCTGTTTATTTCAAAAAGTCAGAGAAGAACACTCCTATATTGATCCAGACAAGAACTATTTTCGAATTTATATACAAGAGGGTGAAGCTAACTCACACACGTAAAAATCTTACAACTTGTCAACAAGATGTGTTCACAACAGGCTTGTAGCAAGCTTGTCAACAAGTTGTAACAATGCTGTTATTTTATCAAGTTGCTACAAGGTTGTAGACAAATTGTTGAATTGCAGGATGATAACAAGTTGTTGGAACAACTTTTAACAAGTCTGTTGAGCACAACAATCTTGTAGCAAGTTGTCAACAAGCCTTTGACAACTTGTCAACAAGCTTGGAACAAGCAGTGCGAACACACTTGGGATAGGTCTTATCTCTAGTGTTAAACAGGTAGTCCTTACCTTACAATCTGTGCGAATATCAAGTCGAGGCCATCGAGATTTCCGCGGTACTTCTTTGCCGTTGATCCCAAGTATTTTGATAACATTGTCTAATTCGGTGTTGCTTGTGGCATTATTGCACGAGAATTCCACTCTCTGTGATGTGATCTTGGTTAAAGCTTGCAGGAATTTCAACTGACCAATATCCGCACTGTATCTGATCTGAAAATATCGGAGCAAAATTATAATCTAAACACACATTTATTCAAGTATAATTTACTAGCATGGCCGTCTCTTAATCAAAGAGACCTCAATCAGTTCTGCCGAAACTGCTCTCTCTAGTAGAGACTATCCCTTGTCGGTCCAGTCCCGATCGGAAATTGACACCTAAACTTGAATGAGCATGCGTAGATTGTACATGCTCACGTGCCCGAATATTAATGAGGTCAAGATATTGTCGACAAAGTGGAATCCTATGCTAGAGGACGAGTTGTTTCAAGACTGTTTGGTAGACCTGTTTAGACTTCATAAGTATTTCTAACAAGAACGCAATCATACTAAAACTATTCCATTTTATACACGTTTTATGAAGAAAATAATTTCACTGGAAAAATTTTGACTCCAAAACTTCAGTAGAACAATGTACCCACATGAACTGGCTCACAAATTTGGATAAAATTATTCATATTTCTGGAAAATTTACTAATTTTGTTTCCGGGTAAAGTAAATCAAATTATAAGTAAATTTGAAACTTTATTAAATTTTTTTTTCCAAATTGGGAGAGTTTCTGTTTGAAACATTTCCCCCGTGAGCGTCAGAGCAAGACAGTTGTACAGTATACACAGTAAAGGCTAATTTCCACTCAGGAAAATTATCCGTGGATTGGAACGGACAAGAAAATTTTTCGTTGTCTTGTGAGCTCTGGGTTGGGACTAATGACTTTGACACAAAGAAAAAATGTTATTGTCCGTTCCAATCCACGGATAATTTTCCTGAGTGGAAATTAGCCTTAATTTTGATATCCAATCTGTTGATAGGTATAGAAGAAGATAGGGAGAAAAGTAGGAAATATTCCTTCAAGGTAAAGTAAGTGCCTTACTTTGTACTCCGTGTGGTTTTGATCGTAGAGACTTCCGTTAAAACTAATGTTGTTTCCACCAGATTGAATTGAACTCTGCAAAAACGAGAAATAGATCAAGAACGTACACTGGATACGAGACAGAGTGATCAGAGATTTGCACTTACTGTCTTGTTGACAGAATACACACATGTTTCACCATCCTTATCAAAACCACAAAACACGGCAAAGGCATCTTCGACAGAACCTTGATTGGGATCAATCCAATATATACCTTAAAAATTGAAAACCAAACATTTTGAACTTTTTCATTTGTTGACAACTGATAGAGCTATCCAGTATGAATGAAGTTGGTGCAGTTTAGATTTCCTCCTATAGTAACACTGGGTCAATAAGAGAGATCCTGACTGAACCTCTAGGAAGAACAGTTTAGAACTGATAGAATTATTCAGTATAAATGAAGTTAGTTTAGTTTATAGGTTTCCACCTGTGGTAACACAGGATAAATAATAGATGATTCTTACTGGACCTCTAGGGAGAACAGTTTAGAACTGATAGAGCTATCTAGTATAAATAAAGTTAGTTTAGTTTAGGTTTCATCCTGTAGTAATACTGGATCAATAAGGATGATCTTTACTGAACCTCTCAAAGAACAACAATATCGATAAGTCCATCTAGTACAAAACAAATCTTCACCATTGGTCAAATTAGTGTTCTGTGAGTACGTCATAAGATCTCTACAACTCCTGGCGGGTCTGTCTTGTTCTCCAGTGGCGTGACGTAATCTCTCGTATTCTTCCTGGGCTTCCTCCAGTTTCGAGTGAATTATGTCTAAGACCTTGGGATGGGAAACAAAATTTGCTAGTAAATATTTTGTCCAGATTGATTTCTAAATTCCTTTTGCACATCTTAGGGCAAGCTCATCTAGGCGTAATAACGATATGACAATATCAAAACTTGACTTACAATTGGTGGCGGGCCTTCGCCGCTACTGTAATTAAGGTAGCTCTCATTCACACCTAGACCCTAGAAAAAGAATGGTAGATCTCTGGTGAGGAGAATGAAAAACGTGGAAAACAAGGAGCTTCCAAGATCAAATACGATTCACGTCGAGGGTTTTTTTTACGAAAGCAAACAAGCAAGTAAGTGGGGTATGCTAATATCATCGTTACTTGCAGCTTAGAGTTAAGTTGAATTGCGAGAATCTGAAGATGGCGAAGACATGGACGTTTAATAAAAGACTTTACCTGCGTACCAGGTGGACCGGGCGGACCCTTAAAAACAATAAAATTGAGCATTAGAAGAAAATTGGGCCAATTGGCGCCACTCTATATTGGATATACTGTACTTTTCTACTTGATTGTGACTATATTAAAAAGTATGTTTAGTGCTTTCTCTGTAAAATTATGCTAAAATGAAGAGATTTTAGATGGTATGCCAAAGAAAAAATTATGTCTGAAGTTCAGTAAGTTTTGCTAGTTATATTGCTGTATAAATATGGCGTCATAATATAAATACGTGTATAAATATGTAGTACAGGTTTAATACTGAAAGGTTAAGAATACTTACTGGAATTCCTTCGTCTCCCTGTTGAGTAAAAAGTGAATATATAAATTAACTATATTATTCAACTATATGATAAATTTCAAGCGATTGATATTGCAACCACAAACAGCCATAATGTTCAACTTTAAACAAAATCCAGTACACGTGAAGTAAATAAAATTATGAGAGATACCTTTTCGCCCTGAGGACCCTAAAAATAAAAATATATGAATTTTAAGAACAGCGCCAACACAGCATTTATTGATGTTACATTACCGATAATGCTTTTTTATATCATATGCAATGATGGTACGGTATAGCTTGAAGCAAATATAACTAAAAAATCATACCTGTGCCCCTTTCATACCCTAAGAATGAAACAAAAAATGCAATTGATTTTTAGTGTCAAGCAAACAACGTGCAAAGAATAGTTTTAACTATCAAGGTATGTCTTTGTTTGCTAATTAAGACTAGGGAGTGAGACTAGGCTGGTATCTATACGGTCTTGTCTCCACTCCTGTTGCAAGTAAGGGTGGGGGTTCAAAGGAGGGTGGGGGTAGGGTGACAAGACGTTGGGGCGGGGTGGGGCGTGAAGGGTGTAACATGATAAACATGGAAAGTTTATTTTTGGTTCTAGTAATTCTTCAGTTAGTGTTTTTTGACGAAGGGACTTAACTTCAAATAAAATATTACGATATACCGAAGCTATTTATGTTAGAGCCACATACATGACCTAATAATATGATCATAGTAATCAAGTACAGATTACTAACATCATTACCGCATCATTTCAACACTACTGTTGCAAAGAACTTTCCAAGTTATGATTATGCAATCTGGAAAAATATTGAGAGGTCTGCTCCCAAATCGACATAGAATTTTTAACAATTAACAAGGGGGCTCAGACCATAACACCTCCAATCGAGGAGAGCTCCACCCCCCCCCCCCCTATTCTGCCCCGTACCCCTAGATAAGACCCTGGGTATGAGGTTGTACCGAGTCTAGTGTAAAACAGAAACATTGAATGTCACACCTGTGCTCCAAGACCTCCCTAGAAAAGAGAAAAATAAAATAGTCAATAATATGCAATTCAGAACGAATGTGATTTAAAATGTTATTCAAAATTAGGCCTAAAATGTGATATTTCTATCATTAAGCTGCCATGACTTAGTGTGGAAACCGCCATGCAGAAAAATATTGAAAGTGCTCATGTAACAAAATTTCACACCATTTCTTTATTATCGCATTGTCAAGAAAATTCATGCAACATGATTAATAAGATATGTGTCGTATCTTTATATCTGATAAAACACTGCTGCTCATGTTTAAACTAGTACGTAAAAAACTCATTAATAATTCACAAGAAAAATACAAAAGAAATGAATGTTTAACGGCAATGTTTGTAAATCGGATAAAGATCTGTCCTGATTTACATAAACTTCAGCTTTGATTTTCTCGGCTTAGACAATGTTTATTTTTAAAATTACTTCGAAAAAGAACTTGTAACGAACGCCATTTAAATAGTAAATGAACGCCATTTAAATAGTAAATGAACGGCATTTAAATAGTACATAAAACTTACAGGTTCCCCTTGTGCACCGATATTTCCGGGAGGTCCATCGCTTCCTTTATCGCCCTAAGAGAAGGTCAAAATTTGTCAATCGAACCTCGTCAAATTTTCTCAGAAGTAGAATAGATTTTGAGGAATTTATTTCATGTGGACTTACTGTTTCGCCACTTGCACCGATAGGGCCAGCATCACCTTGATCACCTTTTATACCCTAGAAAAAAAAACAACAAGATTACTAAAATTTTAACTAGGATTTTTTATATTAAAGTGTATTAGTGACAATAGGTCACTTGCTATACTGGGTAGCATATAGAATTCAATTTGGGCCTTCAACGAAGGGCCTTCGCTCGAAACGTCGAAATTCTACTTATATTTTTCAGGTTTTGCATCCCTACCAAGGAAAGCTTGTTCGTTTCACATGAGCACGTAGCAAGAATCGAATCCACGATCGCAGAGTTGAAACATGCTTGCTTTGACGATTGCGCCACCGAAAGCCCGCGCACAACTTGAAAGGGATGGCCATTTTGAGCTATAATAGCCTATATATTGAACGGCATAGTTCGAAAATACAAACAAATATTAAACATTAAAATAGACACTATAGAAGTCGTAATACAAGTTGTTTGTTTAAGTAGAACAAAAAATATTTCATTGCATTGACGTCATGTTTACATAATGTCCTCCCGCCGAGACGAGATATTGGATGGACAATGGTATTACCTTCAATCCTGGACCACCTATGCCGAGTGGTCCTGGGACACCTTGCTCCCCCTAATAAAATGAAACATTTGAAAGATTAGTGCATGGGTCGACAAATTTAAAGTAAAGAACAAGTCAATAACATATTAAATTGTTGTTCAAGCCACAATCAGAAATACGGTCTTTAAGATCGTCATCTACTGTAAAAGCCCTGCAAATATTGTGACATGCCTGTAGATTGTATTCATCAAGAAATATAGCCAAGGATTTGTTAGACTAGCTACCACAGGTTTTCGATGTTGTAAAGCGCACACTTTGAATTTGGAATTTTGCCTGATTCTCAAAAGTTAAAATCACTTTTTTTTTAATAATTTCATAAAACACAAATGTTGAAATCTTTACGTTTCACAAGCTATATACCGCATTCGCGGCAGCGTTGTATCAAACATACAACCACTTGTCTTCGCCTCGAGTTTATATATATGATACGTACGCTAATGCTGTATATATTTACATATACTCACCTTTTCGCCATCGTCACCAGCGGGACCAGGAGAACCTCTTTCTCCGGGATATCCCTACAAAGCCAGTTCGGAATGTCAGTATTATAATTAGGAAAACATGTTAGCTATAAGTGTTATCAATATTTTATACTTAGTATTACACAGGTTGTTCCAAGAAATGCAACAGCCGTGTTCTAGATTTTTACACAGCTAAGTACTAGTGGGAATCAAAAATTCCAAGAGATGAATTTTGAAACCAAGATTATTAAAATTGGTCTAGCAGAACCAAGGGGGGCACCCAGTATATTGCAATTATGTATTATGTTACCCTATACCTTCAACCCTGGATCACCAGGCGACCCTTGATTTCCTTGTTCACCCTCATCACCCTTAAAAAGATAGAATTTAGTATCAGAATTCTCCCACTGACAAGTCGAACCATCTGACAGAGTCAAATAATAGAAGGCACTGTAAAAAAGGTTTGACTCAAATACAAAATTATATTTTCCATACTAAATTACGACCCCCACGGAAAGTTAGGGCTTAGAACGGGCCAAAGTCAACGACGTAACGTATGTATGTAGTGTACATATGTATCAGTGTATTAATGAATTATGGCTTGTACAACTCATCCAATTTTGCCCTTTATTACAATGGCCACAAAGTTTCTTTCAAAACATTGCATTAAAAGGGTACTTAACACAGAGATGAATGGCTATCACTGTTTCAACTTTACAGAAAAATGCTCTTACGAAGTGTAGACACTAAGTAACCAAAAAATGTCAAATTTTTACTCTCATCTATCATTGAAACTTTCCCAAGGAGAGGTGCATGACTTTTCAGGAGAAGTGCAAAAATTCTCATGGGAGGTGCAAAACGACCTCACGGGAGGTGCCCACCTCCCTTCAAAATTCGACCATGCACTCAATTTGCCGATAGACCGGCTTGGTCTATGATTTTGTTACAGTACCTGTTCGCCATCTCCCCCAAGCACTCCCTTGGGACCCGGTGGACCCTAAACAGAAATAAATATAAAAAATAAAAATGGCTGGGTGATTGTTTCTTTAACATTATCTTTTGCAATGATCAAAAAGGAATGCACGGGGATTTAGAGAGGGTGCAGAAACGTATATTTCCGAAAAAATATAATTTAAGTTCTTATATTGAAGTTTCGTGCATATTTTTTAACAAGTCTGTTTAAACGTAGAAATGCAAGATCAGTTGCAAGCTATCCCTCAATATCTCGAAGAAGTTACCATAAATATATACCGGTGGTCCAGGTGTCCCCGATATCCCTGCCGGGCCTGTAGGTCCCGTATCGCCCTAAAATGTAAAAAGAAACACACATTAACACGAAATAATCCAGAATGAGAGAATTGGAAAGAAATTGATGTTAACCCAATGATGTGCACGGGCTCTCTCCCCGTTGATGAGTAAAGTCTCCTGGCGTTACACAGAGTAAAATAATCACAGGAAAAAAAATTGAACTCCATTAATGGCTTTTTGAATGAAAAAACCTAATTCTTATGGGTAAAATTAGTAAAAACTATGATGTTTAATATTTACTTGGTATTTTATTTTTTTTGCTGTCCACAGGAAAATACCACTAATGGCAAATATTTTAAAAATATCATGGTTTTTTTCCAATCTATATTAACCAATAATAGTTTTTACATTGATAGTATACATGGTCAATTTTTAAAAACCATTCAAAAACCATTGATGGAGAGGTTAAACTACAAAATAAAGTTAAAACAAAGTAATTTTGAGAGGAATGCCAAAAAGATTTTAGGTTTTTTAAACACTTTTCATAGCAAATACGTGACACTGAAAAAAATCGCCTCTTAATATCTTCACACGAAACAAGAAATTTTGAACAAACCTTTTCGCCTTTGAGTGCAGTCAGGTCAGCCCCTGCGGCATCGCCAGGCGGCCCGGGTGGACCATCTATACCCTGGAACGAATAAATTGAAAATATTTACTCTTGTTGGGGAAACACGACAGGTCGTCGAATGTAGTGTGTTAGAATTATCCATATTCCTTACAGGCAATCCCTGCGGTCCAGCCACGTTATTGCTTTCGCCTTTTGCGCCAGGAACTCCCTGTAGAAACAAACATGGATGATAGCCAAGTTGACGGAATTTGTAGGTTGAAATTTGAAGGGTAAATTTTATACATTTATTAAGACCTAACAATAATTATTAATGTTAAAATTAACAATTATGTGCCTCCCTTTGGACATGGCCGTACTAGACTCGGCCAGCTTGTTACTGTTGTCCTTCAAACTCCTTTGTTTCGAACTACTACTTTCCAATCATCTTTCCTGGCCCTCTGGGGGGGGGGGGGGGGTATCTTAACTTTGCTTTATATATTAAACATTTCGTCTCAGTTTCCTCATGAACATCAAAGTGTTGAGCAGAAAATGAATATATTAACTTACGTCCGAGCCTGTTTCTCCAACATATCCTTTCATTCCCGTCTCGCCTGGTTCTCCCTAGAAAACATATTTGAAATTATAACAATCGTATTTGCTCAGTACATAACGTACCTGAATGTTCTTCTCTTCCTTGATCGAGCATTCTGACAGCATTATATTTCAAGCACGTCTCGTGATAGTCAACCAATTACTTACTGGCTCGCCTGCTATCCCTTCTTCTCCTTTTCCTCCAATCTCACCTTCATCACCCTGGCAGACAGAACATAAATAAATAAATATATAAGGCAAGACAAGACAAGACAAGACAAGACAAGACAAGACAAGACAAGACAAGACAAGACAAGACAAGACAAGACAAGACATGCACAAATCCTTTGTCTCAACTTCATTAAATATTATTCATCGTGGTTGCACGTTTCATTTCAGCTATCCCTACTGGACGATTACTACTTCATCATACGAAAATACAATGAGCTCAATCACCGTGAACGCAGTGCTGCAAATAAATATTTGACTTGACAGGACATTTGTCCGATCACTTTCAATTTTGGTCGGACATAACTTGAATTTGGTCGGACAAAAACCAACATCGCTTCATTTGATCGGACATATATACGTCACAAGATATAATATAAGTCACGAGACAAGTATGTATAGCCGTTCTGGCGCAACGTTAAGTAAAATGCTAGAATGTCTGGTAAATTTTACTGCAAAATGCAAATTGGGTGAATTTGCAATCGGATTTTAATTGTCACAGCAAAAAAATGTATAATGTGACAATTTTGTTTTGTGATCGGACCAATGTCCGATCAAAATTACTTTTGCTAAGACATTTGCCAAATTTAGTCGGACATTGTCCGATGTCCGACAGTAATTTGCAGTCCTGGTGAACGTGTACAAACTAACATAAACTCAGATAAAAACATAATACAATGAGCATTGGACTAGTATCCCAAAGGTCGCGGGTTCGATTCCCACCGTGGCCAAGCTTGCGTTCAGCTTGCCCGGTGTGGATGCACACTCAGAGTAACATCACAAACATATTCACCTGAGTACATAACACCAACACACACAAAATAAACAATGACTCTGTTTAGCTCCCAGACAATCATATCTTGATAGACTATGATGGTACGACAAAGGGCCTTCGCTCGAAACGTCAAGCTGTCTTTTTCAATGAATAAAAATTAAACTTGAAAACTGGATTACAAATCAACTAATTGTATCCTATATTTTTAACCCAACTGATTCAGTTTTAGGAAAATATTCTATAAAAGCCCTACTTGTTCACCATCTAAACCAGCTTCGCCCGGAGGTCCGATGTCACCCTTTAATCCCTAAAAAATACAAATGAATATACTGTAGAGGACGATATATACAAGCCGACACCAATAAGAGAATCTCTGACCGTCCATTAAACGCTACCTTTTTCCCTTTGGAACCCTGGGTGCCTTTCAGCGAAATTGGCGCTCCGTCACCCTAAAAAAAACTCTGTATTAAGATCAAGAAATACTAAATACTTACTGTAAAAGGAGAAACTTTTGTATGTTACGTAACATGCGCTCAAAATTTTATTTTCGGAACATTTTCTGTCCATGGAAATTTTTCTTGAATGGAAATGGGCCTTTGATCATAGTTCTGTTGTCAAGTTTTAGCTGAACGCATCAATATTCTATGGGCATCTCACTTGATAGATTTTGCAGATGAAAATGTCGAGTGTAAAACTTTATAGCATTTCAGATCGATTTCTAGATTTAAATCAAACGTACCATCTCTCCAACGGGGCCTTTCTCTCCTTTCACGCCAGATGTACCGGCCGATCCCTACAATTTAAACATAAAGTTGTTACAAAACCACAGTGTACGCGCCTCCGTGAAAGATGCGACTACCTAGGAATATATATATGGTATCGCAAAATTACAATAGCTGTGTCCTGGAGGTTATACATGCACACCTAATTATTAATATAGCCTGCAAAAGCAAGGGATGAAATTTTATCGATAATTTGAGTTTGCGTCTAATGGACCATTTGCATTATAGACTAAATTTTGATCTAAACAAGTCTAGACAGAAATTTCACCACAGCTTGAAAGAGCATCATAAGTTAAATTAGTAATATTCTGACTAAAGTTTCGTTGCGAAATGCTGTAAAATGTGGATAATATAGCCTTGCGAAGTTTGCCATTTTTCAGTCATTTTCTATTACAAACGGGAAATTGACAGCCCCAAAGTGTATTGGGCTGTCAATTTCCCCCGCGGAAAAAAATTCAATTTCCCTCGCTGTCAACTTTCCCCGCTATCAATTTGCAGTAATAAATTTACGTGGTGTTTCCACAAACAAAACTATTATATGTTTTATCGCCATGCAAACGTACAAAGAACTTAATTTGTAATTGTTGACTATTTTGTGTAGTTATTCTCCTTTATGCTATAGTTCTAAATTCCCTCCAGGAGCAGAATATCTTGTGTTCAACAAGGATATTTTAATATCTATAAAGGTCTCCTTTTTTAACTGTATATGCACCCTGCATGTCAATATTTTACGCATCAGTGGGTTTAGCATAGTGCTCAGGCATTCAAATAAGATGCCAACAGTTTATCCAGTTCTTGTGGAGTTGTGGTCAGCACGCTTGTATTTCAAGCCGGGAGAGCCGGGTTTAATCCTTGGTCGGACCTCTACTCAAGGTCTTAAAATAATTGAGGAGAAAGTGCTACCTTTACACAGTAAATGGTTCGACTTTCGCGTCTTCTCGCGGATAAGGACGTTAAAATCGTAGCTACCTCGGATCCCCTATTAATTAGGCAATAGCTGTTGGGAAATCCGCTCACCAATGGGTGAGAAACTCGATAAACAATAAACAAAACAATAATACACCCGACCGCGGGCCGACCATTTCCTACACAAGACACGCGATGTTTTCACTCACCCGAATTCCAGGCTGTCCAGGATTACCAGCAGCTCCCTGTGGCCCTCTGTCGCCCTGTTACAGAAGCAGAGAACGATCAGTAAACGTCAAGTATATATTTCATTCAATTGATGTGTATTTAAACACACACAGCTCCACGTTTGTAAAAGTGCGACCAACCCCAAATATAATTTTTGGTTTGTGTAATACCATGGATAATAAAATAAATGGATAGGAAACTAGCTGACGTGACCTAATGTTTTTACTGGGATTGATGGCGTGGTTGGATGCCTCAACCTAGTTGAAAATCAAATTCTCAAAAACGGCATGTTTAGCAATAATACAGCTAAACATTTTAGTCAAAGAGCAAATAAATGTAACCACGCCATTCTACGATGAAAACTCTAAGTATTCCAAGTCAATTTTAGCAAATATTTCAAGCACTAAACAGTGAAAAATACATCGCAAATTTCGTTAAAGTTTGTGACGCCAATTTCGTAGCTACAAATGTAAAAAAATACAAAACAAAGACGAAAAACATTTACCTTGAATACTTTGTCGTGGCTTAGGCATGTTTTTAAAACAATTAGACCAGTTTACGCTTCAAGATCACCCTTTTAAAGTGGAAAATATAGCAAAACAACAAAAATGCCGAGAACTTTGGTAACATTCGCAATACGCGTGGCGTCACGTTTTTCAACAAGGATGCAGTCAATGACGTCAGAAGTTTCCTATCCAGTTATTTTACAATCCATGGTAATACTGGGGTCACTCTGACAATTAGAAACGTAATGTATCTTTATAGTAAAAAACCTCATCTTGGTCAACTTTTTAACTGCCAAAGTTTCCGGATATGAGGTCATCAGGTGAATTTTCGGTACAAAAAACAACGAAAAACTAATTTGCAATTCACCTAATGACATCATATCCGCAAACTTTGGCAGTGAACAAGTTGATCATGATGGGATTTTTTATTATAAAGATGTATTGCATTTTTGTTCGAATAAGCCAAAACATTTGATTTGTGGTTAGTCGCACTTTAATAAACAGTTATTGGATGAGATTTTTGTGATATCCGTAGTTGTCAAAATCGATGTATAAAGTGTTATCAATCGGGCCGAAGGCGAGACTCGTAACATATACCGAATTTAAATCGAATTAGAAAAATGAAATTTTGGTAGGCTGCTTGCAACCTTATGTTAACCACGAGCTGTTGCTCCAGATATGCATAGAAATTACTGGGGCTAAATTACTTACCTTTTCGCCCGACACTCCAGTTTTCCCGCGTATCCCTGGTGATCCAGGAGGACCCTAGAAGATTCAAAATATTACTCCAAATAAGTAAATTATCTTTGTAGCAGTGATCTATTAGAAACCATAGCGCATTCAGACAGAGCGTGCTAAGTTTTATTCGCCTTGCCAATTAGGAGCCTTGTTCCAAAGCTAGTGACGTAGACAAGAAAAACTTGACAAGTTTACAAGAAATACTTTTATGGTTTTGGCAAACAAAAGGAAGCCTTGACGTGAGATAAATGTTTAACAACATTCCGTGCACAAAACTTGTCAAGGAAAACTTTTTGACCGTACACACAAGAAAGTAAACTTCCTCTGTATACCGAGCTTTATTGTAGCTATTATGTACATATTTTGCAAAGGACAAATAGAAAAATATCCTACCATTGTTCCTGGATATCCCTGAGGTCCAGATGTTCCCGGAGCTCCTATGTTCCCCTAAGAAAAGAAAATATAATATCGTGTTAGTCGATAAGTTACGCGATTCGATCCCATTATGTCCCTAAATTACCTGTGCTCCAGGTCTGCCAGGTCTCCCTAATTCCCCTGATGTACCCGGATCACCCTAAAAAATTATTGATATACTGATTTGAAGCTCATCCGTTCACAGCAACGATATTTAATATTGGACAAGTTTTCGCTTGCTGCTTTAGTATGAAGGACTAGTGTCATTTTTGAGTCAAAATAGTCCGCGATTTTTTTGTAGTGAGAATAACTACCCTACCTTATCCCCTGTGTCTCCGTCTCTTCCTCGGTTTCCAGGTGGTCCTGGTAATCCCTAAAAAAACAAAAATGTATAAAACGAAATGTTTAAAAATGTTCACTTGTTCTTTTCCATTGAAAAAGATTTTTAAACCTACGTCCGCTCCTGGTTGTCCGTCTTTTTCTCGATTACCCTTCGATCCCATGTCGCCCTAAAAATGAAATGAATTATTGAAAAATCTCACAAGCAAACCATGATATCTACTCCTAAATACGATTAAAATCTATTTTAAATTCCCAGGAGCATAAAATCTTGTGCTTAACAACAATAGCTTGATTTCTAAAAGTCTCGTTTTTATACACCCTGTAATTTCACTTCTCTGTTTATTTGAACAGTCTTTACAGTGCCTACCGTTTCCCCAGGTATCCCCTTCGCACCCGGCGGTCCTCTCGCTCCATTTTGTCCCTAAAAATAAAACGAAATACTATCAGGGTGCAATTCTGAAATAGTTTTAGCATTAACTGCCTGCACAGGTAGGCTATTCCACAGTACAACACCTCGATAAGCGCTGTCTAGGGACAAAGGGTCAGAGCCTCTTAGACCGTAATTATGAACCGAGTTTACAGACGCAAATCTATTCTAAGGGTATTCTGGCAGCAACTGTTTTAAACATTAGCGCTCTAAGATGTTCAATTTGGACCAATCTAGAGCAGACAGTATTTTGTGTGATCGAGAAAATATTCACGAAATATGGAATTTTCAATGGCTGTAAAGGGGTTTCGATATCCGTTTAAGGCTGTAAATTATGCGAATCTTTCAGAACATGGGTCACTTGATGAAATGAATAAAGAGTCCTGAGTTGTGCCATTTGACTGACATCATTAGTCATGCATGTTATTATAACCATAAATTCTTATTGTTTAACATTTTTTATCAGCAGAGTTGTGAGGAATCCAACACAGAACAAAACAGATTGTATAAAATGCGTATGTTGTGGCATCATTGGCAAGCATTGTACAGAATCATATATTGCTTGTTATATTGCTAACTTTAGCTTAAGTTTTATTTAATGGTCATTATTTAATATGACAATTACGTTATATGGGCGTGATTGCATGCTTGCCACTTGCTACTAAACAACTCTTGTGAATTGTGATTTTGGTACCAGACTTTTTAAATGTTATAATCTGATCCACTTATAATATGAGCGGCTCTATTTCGTAATTATTGAAGCGACACATGCAGTATACCTGAGCTCCTTGAGATCCAACAAGACCAGAACCTCCTTCATCACCTCCTATACCCTGAAGAACGAAAATAAAAAGTGAATATGCCTTGAAGTTGCAGTTCATGCTAATGAGCACTTCTTTCATTTTACTTCTATAAAACAGTGGCGTAACGTTATATCAGGGGTCCCCGGTCCAAAATTTTCGAAGGTCCCCCTGGTAGAAGTGCCAAAGGCACGAGTTGAGCGCCGTATATGCACAAGTTTTCCAGGGGTCCAGGGCATGCTCACCCGGAAATTTTTTGAATTTAGACTCTCTGAAATGCCATTTCCTCGACTTTGGGGTGAGATTTTACAGAATTCTGATGGTCAGAAAACGACATTGTGACATATCAGAGGCCCTGGCCAATGATTTTGCTCTACAGCCTGAGCCTGGGGGTTGGGGGCCCCAGGTTCGACAGGTCCGAGCTCATAGTAGTTACGGCACTGCTATAAAATTCATACCTTAGGACCAGCTATTCCGCGCGTTCCGGGATCTCCTTTTTGGCCTCGCGAACCCTACGGTACAAGAAATTGGTAAAAGTTTGTCCATTTTCATGGTCAAGTAGCGATCTCACTTTCCGTTTTTCGAATCAGTTTCAATGGCTTGCTTGCTTGCTGATACTTACCACTATCCCATTAACACCCTTTGTTCCTCGGGGTCCTCGAACACCCTAATTATCCACAACATAAACAAAATTATGTTAATAAAGCAGGCCTTAAAATATCTTTTCCAGGGCCGTCTGACAAAATGTCCGGTGACGTTGAGTTTGGGTCGGACATATGTCCGATGACCTTCAGTTCAGTTTTAGCTCGGAAATAAGTCTTCAGGAATGACACAAATGAATAAACGGTAAATGTTGTACCATGTATGTAATACTTATTTCCAAGCCAAAATTAACTTGCTTGCCAGAACATGCAGCAGTGTTAAAAAAGACTTCGACAACTTAAGCCCGTTTTCCACTTCACCATTTCGCTCGCCGCCCCGCGCTCACTACGTTAAAACAACAATTCCAGTTCACCTTTTATACAATAGTACTCTGATTTTCCATTTAACATACAAGCCTCTAGTCCTGGGCTAGGGTACATTTTGATTTACGTCGGACAAAGCTACAGTTCGGTCGGACACCAGTTCACTTGGGTCGGAAAACAATAAACCTCAGTTTCACTTTGGTCGGACAGAATGTCCGGCGGTTTCCTCTCTACGTCGGACAATTTCACGAATGGGTCGGACAATGTCCGTGACCGACCGATATTTTAAGGCATGCTAAAGGTTTCCTATGCACTATCGAAACTTTCTCGCATTAGAGCAACGTCATCAAACATTAATTTAAATGGATTTTAATTGTGTGTTTGATACACAATATTTTAACCAACGAAACTTTGATAGACTAAAACCAAGTCCCTCGCGGCTCGATGTGCCCTCCGTCAAGTGCTTTCAAGTGATATTTCAAGTACCAAACAAAGCAACTGGTGGTGAATCTAGTGCTATCCACCGGGACATTCTGAAAGCTCCGCTTCAGTTCACCTTTCAAAAGCTTCTTTGACGTACATTTTCAAATTGATCAAAGTGTGTGACGATGCAAGCCTCCCTCATTTTCGTTGCGTCAAATTTTGATAAGGCTATTGCGATCGCAAAACATTAAAAGTACAAGCCTTCTTCACTATTTTTGCATGATTGCACTAACGGTATGTAAATTTGCGAGAATTGTTGGTGCATGTTCATTTATAGATCAATTGGCCAACACTGAATGCAGTGACTCGAGGAACGTTCTTTTGTAAACATTATGCACCCTCTTTTCTAAAGTAGTCGCATTGTTCACTGTCCCTAAGTTGATGACTGGCAGTTTCTTTAGGGGTGGATACCCTACAATGAAAAATTCCAATTTTAAATTCGATCGCATCAACTTGAGTTGGTTCAAATTTTGATGAGAACTGACGGTAATATCCAGTTAACTCTCACGCAACTCTTGTTCTCGTTCGACCGGGGCATGAGAGTTGATGAAACTCTCGTGCAAACTCTCGCTTGTCAACTGTCATCAACTTTGGGTTGGTTCAAATTTTGATAAGAACTGTCAGTAATATCCAGTCAGCGCTCATCAATTCTCGTTTGACCAGGCCATGAGAGTTGATGAAACGCTCGTGCAAACTCTCGCTTCTCAACTCTCATCAACTTTCATTGACGTTTGCCTGGAGCTTTATGGAGGATTTTCACACATTCATTGCCCAAACATAAAAATATAACATAAGAGTTTTCACAACACTAACTTCATCACCGTCTTTTCCAGGTTGCCCTTTATCACCGGTAGGCCCAGGTAAGCCCTAGAAAACGAGTATTTTATATTACATAGAACAACAAAAGGCTATATGCGACTCAGAGTTCAATATAATTCTGTTTTGGTCAGACATGATCAAATACTTTATTAGTACCTACGACATCACTGCGGGTCAATAAGGTATACTACATGATTTTATCAAAACAAGTGGATTACCGGAGGTCCAACACCACTTGTGGTCGCCGCGGGTCCTGGAGTTCCCGGAGGTCCCTCATCACCCTACCCAAAGTTAACAAATCGAGAATGAGAAGAAAATCGAGAATGAGAAGAATCTTAACATATTTAGGACGGCGATATTGAGCTTATAAACACATAAAGAGAGACAATGCACTTACCTTAGGTCCAGCTGGCCCCGGTGAACCTGGAGGTCCAGAATTTCCGAGTAAGCCCTGGAAGAAATAAAATAAATATCATGAATGGCTAAACAATGATCACTTATTGCTAAATATGTCAACACATGCATACTTTAAACTTTTTTGCATTAAATTTCATGCAATATATAGCGCCATTCAAAAACCCCTCCACCTCTGCCCAGCCTAGGTTACCATTGTTGGTAATCTATGTTAATCTAAAGTGTCCCTGAGGAGAACAACGTGACCTCACCTCAATCCCAGATAATCCTGGAAGTCCCATCTCACCCGCTTGACCTGGGGCTCCCTGAGAAAAGAAAAACACGAAATGTAACCCGGTGTTTCAATCATTGATTTTTTTCAATACGAAACATTTCAATGTATTGCCAACAAATATTCTTGGTTTCACCTTGTCGATACTACTACTGAGCGAACTCAACGACAGTAGTACTAGTGCCGAATGTTAACAAGTTGTTAAAACAAACAAACAAACAAACAAACAAACAAACAAACAAACAAACAAACAAGCAAGAAATTTACCAGAAGTCCAGGGAAGCCAGCAAAACCATCAAACCCATCATAGCCCTATTGAAAAGATAAAAACGTAAACAAAAGCTATAACCGTTCAAGGCAATTAGCCTTTCTGACGATGACGAATATCCGCCATTTTTGGGTGGCATCTAATTCTCGTTAACCAATGCAGACAATTAAAACAATGTGAAAAGCAATTTTTCAAAATAAACTAATCATTTACAAAGCAAATTTACCATCATTCGTCCAAAAATTATTAAAAGTCGCTGTTACGTGGACTTATCTTGCAGACTTCGGCTGAAAAGTCACCCAAAAATGGCGGCGTGAGAAAGGCTAATTAGCCTTTCCAACGAACATGTTATTCACGTGCTGGCCTCGTGCAAAAATATCTAGTAAATGTAAATTATAAATTGTGAACAATATGTAATAGTTACCTACACGGCTTCCTTTGAGTCCCGGAGGTCCAGGAAGTCCCAGATCACCTTTCACACCCTATGAACACAAAAAATAATTTAAATTTCTCGTCCGCCTGACCTACAGTGTGTCTATGAAGCCGAGACGCACATTGCACACGTAAAAGTCTCACGTCTTGTAGCTGTCAACAAGTTGTGTTCGCACTTCTTGTCCCAAATTGTCAACAAGTTTGGAATAAGCTGTTAACAGCTTGTAACAACCTTGTTGATATTATCAGACTTGTAGCAAGGTTGTTCCAACAAGTCCGATGCAGTCATGATATAACAATATTGTTACAACCTTGTGTCGTCAACCTTGTAACATTCTTGTTATATCATGACTGTATCAGACTTGTTAGAACAACTTTGTATCAAGTCTGATAATGCCACCAAGCTTGTTACAAATTGTTAATAGCTTGGTCCAAACATGTTACAACAACTGGGAACAAGCAGTGAGAACACAACTTGTCGACAGCCTGTGAACAGATTTGTTACAACTTGTTTGCAGACCTGTAACAACTTGTGCGTCCTTACGTGTGAAGCAACAAGCTTGTAGGAAGTTTGTCAAAAAGTTGTAACAATGCTGTTATTCTATCAAGTTGCTGCAAGGTTGTCAACATCCTTGTAGCAAGTTTTCAACAAGCCGTTGGCAGCTTGTCAATAAGCTGGGAACAAGCAGTGAGAACACATCCTGTTGACAAGTTGTTTGGAACAGCATTGTTGCAGGTTTGATACAAATTGTGCGTTTTAACGTGTGCAGGGTGTCCGTGAAAGGTCTACCGCTCCATTGAAGCTTTGGCTTCCTTTACTTACATCCAAGCCTGTCATTCCATTTGCGCCTGGTAGGCCATCAGGACCCTACATTGACAAAACAACCATTAGAGGAACTAAGTCCCCTCAAAATGAATTCGACTGGACAAGGTTGACTTCATGTGACCCTTCATGTGATCCCCCCACCCAACCCCACCTCTAACCTCTGGGTTATGACCTACACATGCAAAAATCTCACATCTTGTAGCAAGTCTGCCAACAAGCCGTCAACAAGTTGTGTGTCGCACTGCTTGTCCCAAGTTGTCAACAAGTTTGAAACAAACTGTTAACTGTTGTAACAAGCTTGTTGATATTATCAGACTTGTTGCAAGGTTGTTTCAACAAGTTCGATACAGTCATGATATAACAATATTGTTACAACCTTGTGTCGTCAACCTTTTAACATTTTTGTTATATCACGATTGTATCAGGCTTGTTAGAACACCTTTGCTGCAAGTTTGATAATGCCATCAAGCATGAAGTTGTTAACAGCTTGTTCAAACTTGTTATAACAACCAGCCTCAGTTATAAAGGGTCAGAAAACTTGCAAAGGGTGGCCCCCAAAAGCACGAATTGGTAAAATTTTGAAATGTGGACCCTTTTTGGTAGACATAGATAGGAAAAACTGTGACTTTTTATTATTACTTGTCATAGTCCATTTTTTTTAACACCTTTTTTTAAAAATTTGAATTTTGGGGGGAAAACTTTTTTAGGGAAAAAAACTTTAAAATTTGACGGTGGTCTCAGGAGGCTCTGTTACGCCACTGACTGACTCCATAACAGAGACACGTTAACTTACATGACTACCGGTTCTTCCAGGACTGCCGTTCAACCCAGGTAAACCAGGCGGTCCCTAAATGGTAAAGTTTACATGTAAAATATATGCATATCCATATATGCATCCATATATCATCATATGCATCCATAAGCATCCATATATGCATCCATATGCATCCAAAAATGCATCCATATGCATCCATAAGCATCCATATATGCATCCATATGCATCCATATATGCATCCATATCATCCATATCATATATGCATCCATATGCATCCATATATGCATCCATATGCATCCATATAAGCATCCATATGCATACATATGCATCCATATATGCATCCATATAAGCATCCATATGCATCCATATGCATCCATATATGCATCCATATGCATCCATATAAGCATCCATATATGCATCCATATGCATCCATATAAGCATCCATATAAGCATCCATATGCATCCATAAGCATCCATATATGCATCCATATGCATCCATATGCATCCATATATGCATCCATAAGCATCCATATATGCATCCATATAGCATCCATATATGCACGTGAAAATGACGTACCCGTGAACCGGTTACTCCTTTGATGCCTTTCTGTCCACCCTTTCCCCGAAATCCCTGTGTACAAAAAATTAAAAGTTAGCAAAACTAGCTAGCCGTGTTGTTTCATTTGGCCAGAAAAATATGATATACGTTCTTTATAGTATATACACTCGCTTCAACATACCGGATCGCCAGGCAAGCCACTCTTTCCCGCATCTCCTGAAATGCCCTAAATAATGATGGAATTTCCTACATTTTAAGTTTCCATATGTATGTATCTTCGTAGATATATCGACACTCTATTACATTACATGTGAAATAGTGGGCATGGATCTATCTTGTTTTTTGTGTGCTGTATGTAAATCAATCTTTACTGACTGTAGAGTAGAGATATATCGACATTCTATTATACATTACATGTGAAATAGTTTGGATGTATCTTGTCTTTTGCATGCCGTAATGCAGCCCTTAATAAGCTTTAAAATAATTCGATGTCATTCCTTAAGGCGACTTACCGAGTTTCCCATGGGGCCTTGAGAACCTCTTTCCCCTGGTTCACCTTTCGTACCCTGTCAAAACAACAGAAAACACGAGTAAAGTGGCGAGAATGTGTAACCATACTCTTAATTAAAATACCCTGATTAAAATATTGTCACTGAAAAGCCCCCTCTCGGGGAGTTGTCAATAAAGTATTGTATTGTATTGTGATATTCCAGTTTAATCTATAGAAATATTTATGTCCATTTAACATATTCTGGTTATTTTAACAAGGATCTATATTATATTATATTATATTATATTATGTATTGTATATAGTAAATCTGTGAATTTTCCCGTACATCATTTTTATATTGAATTACATCGACAATTTCATTTATCCTACCTGTTCACCTTTCACTCCCGGAGGTCCAATATATCCTGATGGTCCCTAAATATCCATATAACAAAATGGTAACAATTTCCGCATGTAATACAAACAGCTATACGTCGGTTCTTTCATAATACAGACGGTTTTTAAACTCGGACAAACTAAATAGCAAGTAAAGAAGAAAAAATAAGCCAACCTGTTTTCCGGGATCTCCAGGCGCCCCATCAGGTCCGGGTTTTCCAGGATCAGCCTATAAATTAAAAATTACACAATTGCTTGTATTGCTGCAATGTTTCACAGATTCTTGCCAAATATAAAATACAGCCTTCTGCTTAAATATTTATATTATATCTGTATAGCAAGTCATGAACAATTATTGTATTATGTCTTTGTCTGAGTTTATGTTAATTTGAGCTCATTTGAGCTAATTGATTGAGCTCATTGTATTTTCGTATAATGAAGTAACCGTCCAATAGGGATAGCTGAGATGAAACGTGCAACCACGATGAATAATATTTAATGAAATTGAGACTAAGGATTTGTGTATGGTGAGGTACAGTTCAACATCAAACAAAGCTCTTCTATTTTGTGGCCTTGAAAACTGCCTAGTTTCCAGATCATCATATATGAAACAGTCTCTCATGTAATGTGTTTTTTCTTTTACCGAAACCCACCTTCACTCCCTTTCGGCCAGGATCGCCAACTGGACCAACACGCCCCTAAAATAGGAATTAAATATTAAACAATTCTAATTCCCTTTTTGTTCCCCCCGCTTTTAATATTGGTGGGCAAAATCCGCAATCCAAAAACAAAAATAAGCGTTATAAAAAACTCGTTAAGATTAAAACAAGATTAATATTTCTACACCTCAAATTTATATGTGGATATATAATCAAATGCCATCTAAAATCTCGTCATTTTAGCATTATTTTACAGATAAAACACCGGCATACTTTATCAACAGCTAGTTTATAAAAAATTATACCTGTAAACCACATATAAATCATAAGTATTCTCTACTTATAATCACTGCGCGTATTTTCAGTTCTAAAATGTTGTATTTGGACTGATGAGAATTGAGAACGATCGTGACTCCATCTTTACGACCATATTAAAACCAGTCTTTCATATTTCATCTAAACCCATTACAAAGCGCAGATGATACTCATAAATGTTAAAAACGAACCCTTTTTCCTGTTGTTCCAGTAAAACCTTTAGGCCCCTCAGCTCCTGGGTCACCCTGTCATGAAAATTAAATGGATTATAATAGAGCTTATAATAGATTATAATAAATTCTTATATTTTACCAATGTCAAATAATTTAAAGAAATAGATGTTTGTGATGTTACTCTGAGTGTGCATCCACACCGGGCAAGTTGAAAAGATATACTAATCTAATGCTCCTCCTAGCTCAGTTGGCAGAGCATTGGACTAGTAAAGATTGCGGGTTCGATTCCCACCGTGGTCAGGCAAAAGTTTCAGCTTGCCTGGTGTGACTGCACACTCAGAGTAACACCACAAAGTAACGTCGTATAAACTTGAGTACATGACACCAACAACACACACAAAAAGTATTAAAGAAATTGAATTGTTTTCATAATCATAGGATAAAATTTAACCTTGAAGTTCGTAATGTATATGTATCTGTATATTTGTATATGCATGTATATATGTGTGAAAATTAAACTATACTGTACAGTTAATTCAAATGCTTTGTAAATTTTACGCAATTCAGCTAGTTTGGGCTGTGATGTAAAATTAAACAATCTGTCTATATATCTCAGAGCTCTTTAAATTTTATCAATTTTATCGTAAACGCGTTCGTTGTGAAAAGTAGAATTTTTTTTACTCTCTGACATTCGTCGCATATTATCGTCACAAAATATTGCTTTATTTTATTTTACGTTACATAATAAACTGTTTGAATATTTTTTCGCTTTACTAAGTATAATTACACTGTGCATTACCTTACGTCCAACATATCCCGGCATACCGCGCGGACCTTGTGGACCCTATGGAGAAAATATCTGTGCTGCAATTACACAAACATTTGGTCGGTGTCAAAACCAAACTGTATATATAATTTATATCTGAAGTTAAGCCGGTTACAGACGAGCAAGTTTTCTATGACAAGTTTTTATGTGACAAGTTTTATTTGCTCGTCTGTCCGAGCAACTTTGACAATTTTTTCTATGACAAGTGCACTTGTTCAAAAGCTAGCATGCTAGCTAGAAAAAATTGTCAAAGTACAAATTTTGTTCGTCTGTATGGGTCAACAAAGAAAACTTGTCAAAGTAATCTGAGCATTTGATGTGATTGGCCAGCTGGCCAGTAATAAATTGTCAAAGTAAACTTGTTGACACTTTCACACCAGCAAATAAAACTTGTCATATGAAAACTTATCATATAAAATTTGTTGCATATACACACGTGCACTTGGCAAATAAAACTTGTCACATAAAAACTTGTCATAGAAAACTTGCTCGTCTGTAACCGGCTTTACGCATGCCATATTTCCACGGCCGTCGCTATAGAAGGGGGTGTGGTGTGGAGTGCGACACCCCTGAAAACATGTTTTCAGCAAAATAACGGATTTATCGGCAAATTCTTTTTCGTAGTCAGCGAGAATATTTGAGTTGCTGGGATTAAAAAGTAATAGTTACAGCAAAATTTTTGATAAATTTACGAAAATATTACCGAAAAATTCCACCCCCCCCCTCCTGCTTAGCCTCTTCGCTACGGTCGCTGTTGGTTTTCACGACATTTCGTACTATTGCAGTAAAGCCTGGTTTACACTGGCAATTTTGTCGGCGATGTTGTGTTTCTGACGGATGCAAATGAGTAAACTCGCACACAAAAGTATAGAGTCGTTTTTCAGAAGTAAACAATTCTATGTCATTCGTTCGATCACATCTGCCAGAAGGAGAAAAATCGCCGACAAAATTGGTAGTGTGAACCAGGCTTAAGCCTCGGCCAAACGAGAATCAGAGTTGATGACAGTTGCAACTCTCACTCGTGTTTCACCGCAGGGCATTTTTAACATATGAAATGGTGTGCCAAGTCTCCCCCCCCCCCGCCCCATGTTGCCCCTCCCCAGTTTAACTATTTTGCCCCTCAGTCAAAACTACTTTTTTAAAAGATCTTGAGAAAACAAACTCTCATCGACTCTCGGACACTTTCATCAACTTTGAACTGGTTTAAATTTTGATGAGAGTTTTTGTTACGCGCGCGGTAATATCCAGTCAACTTTCATCAACTCTCATGCGGCTTTTATTCTCGTTCGGGTCGGGACACGAGAGTTGAGAAAACTCGCATGCAAACTCTCGCTTGCCAACTTCATCAACTCCCATTCTTGTTTGATCAGGGACTTTACAATAATTAAGATTTTACAATCACACTATCGTTTGGCAACATCCCAGATAACGCGAAGATAGTCTACAATTATTGACGAATCGGCGTTTATTTTACAAATTTAAGGCGGCATAGGGTATTACAAAAATTTTTAAGGTCAGATATAATTTCCAATGTACTCATCAGACAACAATTTGTAAATCCCTAGCTTTACAACTTTCATAATTCATAGTGTCACGCAGTAAATTCTTGCCGTTTTCAGTAAAATTATTCCCTATATTAAGCAATAAACGTCTTAATACACACTGACCATCTGTCAGTGCCTTACACAAACTGGGTATGCATTGATCATTTAACAAACAGTCACAAAGATTCAACTCAGTAAGCTCACAATGCTCTTTTGTCAGGGCATCTTCAAACAACATACATACACCTTTATCACCTATGTCATTTTCCGCCAATGATAGAACAATCAGTTGGCAACGTTCATCTTGCAGTGTCTTAACTAGCGTAGGAATACGTCGACCTGTTAGCGAACACTTACGGACATCCAATGATTTAAGTTTACGAAGACCTTTCGTCAGAGTATCACACAACACCATTCCACCCTCATCACGTATTGAATTATTTGCAAGATTCAAATGTACAAGATTTGGGCAATGTCCATTGTTAAGGACTTCACAAAGTTTAGAAATTTTATGTGAATCAATTTCACTAGAACTTAGAGTTAACTGCTCAAGTTGGCTCGCATGCCCGTTTTCAAAAAATTTACACACGATTGGTAAACCTGTTTCGGTCATGCTCAAATGATGAAGTGCTAAGAAAATTAGCCTAGTGTGTTTGTGGTCCAATGCGCAGTTTAATTCCATTACTGCGCTAAATACGTCGTTTGCATTACCAAATCTTGCCGAACGCACATTTAGTTTATTTAGGCATCTTTTTCGTAGCAATCCTAGAATCTCCGGAAGACAACCTCTGCCCCAACCAAACAATGTCAAATTTGCCAATTTTTTCATGTGTTTACAAACGAAATGCACTGCTGCCCACTCAGTTGTAGAAAGATTATAAAATGCTGTATTAATGCGTAGTTCTACCAAATCGTTTATAGCAGTTGCTTCGCAAATTTCTTTAGTAATCTCCTGATTGTCTACTTCCCTTAAACACTTCATTATAAACACTTCAGGGTATTTAATTTCAATTTCACCATTAGTAACTTTCAAGCTTTTTACAAACGCGAAAACACAATCCTTATATTCCTTATCAAAATTCTTGATTTTCTTTCCCAAAATTCCTGCAATGAACTGAAGAACTAAATGCCATTTACCAGTTTTAACATGAGCGGAAATAAACTTCTGTATTTCGGGTGGAGCGAATGTTTCAGTCACGTGTCTTGCAGCAAGAAATTCTTGTATGGTTAAATGGATAAAACAAAACTGTGTTTGTAGTGGGAAAATAGGGTTGGATAAACTGTTCAATAAACCTGATGTTTTCATTTCTTCATCAAATAATGTTTGATTAAAAACCAGTTGCCCGCTTTCCATACCAAGGAATGCTAATCGTTGAAGTTTCTTTAACGCTTCATGTGCCGTAGTTTCTGTCTGCATTTCTGTGATGATATTTCTCAAAATGATCAATGGCTCTGGTAAAGTTCTGTCAGTGTTGTTGGAAGAACACCGTTATTTCTTGGATTACTAAGACATCCAGAGAGGGTAACACACACTATAAAGCAGTGACTGGAATGTAACATAAGTTTAAAGTTCTGATGAGGATTTTATGTGATTCCATATCTTCGTTTTGAGGTCGCTCGTGTTATTATTGTCACAAAATCGGCTGACATATTTTTCAATATTATTGGAAGTGAAACCAATAATCTCCACATTTCGATCAAAATTAAGTCTCGAGTAGAAACCATCTCCAATCGGTCTGCTCGTTACTACAACCGTTGCTCCTTTCAACAAGTCGCCCAAAACTAGTTTAATGAATAAATTCATTGCTGACGTGCCATTATCAGGATCGTTTGGAATGATGCGAGATTGGTCTAAACAACTTATGGGGTCGCCGTGATATTCATCTAAACCATCAAAAATAAGAATGGCTTTTTGTGGCTCTTTTGCAATTTCTTCGTAAACACTTTCGAAATTTTCTTCACTCAGTCCCGTCCCAAACCGAAGAAATGTCTTAAGGGATATATTTGTTAATTTGTTAATATTCTCATTGAAGCATCTGAATTTGAAAGAGAAGACAATCTTGTCAGAATAACATTCATCAATTCCATTAGCCCAGTCGCGGATAATTTTCTCGGTCAAGACAGTTTTTCCAATCCCAGGTCTTCCAATCGCCAGAATGCTACGAGGAAATTCTCCCTTTGTGTCTCTATTTGGACAAAATAATTCATTAATTCTTTTTAAACGTATTGAGGTGTAAGGAACTTCCATATAAACGTCGTAGATTTCGTGTCTGCTCATTTCTTCAGGAAAATTATGCGGAGCTCGTCCAGTATGGATAACTACGTCAATATACAAATCATCTATATCAGCGTTTGGCCCATAAATTATGCCGGGATCACGAGAACGTTTCAAAACTTGTTGTTTGTAAAAGTCTACAGATTTCAGAAGGTTCTTATTGACGTTTGATATTTCCAGTTCATCCCTAGGCACATCATATCGCTTACGAAGAAAATAAGCTGTGACAAATTCAGAATCACAGCTCCAGCCAATTCCTGGACGACAGTTAAGGACTGGTAAACGTCGCCAAAGATAAATGATTTCCACAAGTATAACTAAAGCAAATATACTGTTTATTACAGAAACAATTATTCCCCATAACCATTTCTCTGACGCTGTCGCATTCTCACAATTTACTGATGTACTATTAAAATTACGACTCGCATTCTTTGGTGTTTTGATGTTGGATGTTACTTCCGCTGGTGGTATATCACAGTTGAATTTCAAATCGAAACCATTGGGATAGAAATATATGTGTTGTACAACAGTAAAAATGATCCCAAATAACGAACGCACAACGAGGTGGATAAAATAGCGATAAAATACATAAAAAGTTCTCCTATTCTGTCCATGGACCAGGTGGTCAACTTCGTCTTCAGTTTGTCGTTCAAGGCTTGACTCTATTTCGTCGACACGAGCGCTCACTAGCAGTGAATAAATAACACTGACAAGAACTGACAATCCAATACTCAGTGTAACAAAGCCGTATAAAGGCAGAGGGGAGTTATAAACCTGATCATAAATGGAAAAACATGCCTGATCAACCTGTTTCTTGTACGTGGCGTACTTTTAGCATCAACAGAGCAAGAAAATTTCCCGTTCTCGCTTGCCCTCAATGCTGCAGTAACAGCAGTAAATACCAATCCACAAAGGAAATGAACGGCGTCGTCTATCATCTTAATATTTAATAAACTACATCTCTGAAACTTTGGTCTGTGCACTTTAATGTTTGTGCACAGCAATTTGGGTAAAATGAAGCGGCAACTCAGTGTGTTTTTGTTGATATTCAACAGACAAGAGACAACAATTAAGTTTAATATTTGAATGCATGGCTAAAGCCGTACAAAAGATTGCAAAATTGCATGGGGAGCTTTGTCTCTTTGATATTGTTAAAAGTTAATTGAAAATGATCTAAAATTAAGTTGCTGAATATATAGAAATGACTAGAATATACCGGAGATGCTATTTTTCTTGACTGGGCAGATTCCCCGGTGTTGGACTTCCTGTATTTCACAATTATAAGCGTCGTCTCTCTGCAAGATAAACTTGAGGTCCCGAAAAAGCAAGAAATGTACCAGCAGGCAGCTAAATCTGTCGATATGACGTGATGGGCTGGACTCCCCACAGGCATGGGGCGAAATATGTATTAAATGATTGATAGTTATTTAAATGCATGCATGGTTAGAGCAATTCAAAACATAGCAAAATTGCGTAGGGGTTTTTTGTGTCTTTGATATTGTCAGTGAAAATGGTGCAAAAATAATTTGCTATATCTATTAGAAACGACTAGAAAATACCGAAGATTTCGTTATATTTTATTATTTTGTACAGAGTCGAGGTAAACATCGCCTTTCATGAATGTCTCACACTCCAGATGATCTTGATACGCGGAAAAGTACTGGCACTAGTTGTCAAATCCAAATCCATTTTATGATTAAAACAACTGAATATCTCCTGTAATATACCTTATTTCGATTCCATATTTTTGTCAGAGCTATAGTTCTCATAACCAAACATAATTACAAAATTTCAACTAGTTTCATAACGAATAACGAAAGATATAATTGACTGAATACATCAAAATGGATTTCTATTCGGACAACCCTTTCTGAGCGCTGATTGGCTAAAATACGAAAACGAGATCACCTGGACTTTGTGAAATAGTTGTATTTCATGAACATAATATAAGCGTTAGGTTTCTTCAAAATACTTTCAGAAGAAGTATGGAATTTATAGACAGACATGATAAAAGCTTGTCTACATGGGTTGTTTTCCATTTCAACCGTTTCCTACCGAAACGTAGCGTCATACCGCGCGGACCTTGCGGACCCTATGAAGACAATATCTGTGCTGAAGGTACACAAACATTTGGTCGGTCTCAAAACCAAACTGTATATCTATATCTGAAGTTACGCATGCCATATTTACAGGGCAGGGGGGAGGGGTGGGATGTGACACCCCCAAAGTCATACAAAGGTATAGGGGAGTTATAAGCCTGATCATATCTTGCAAAACATGCCTGATCGACCTGTTTCTTGTACGTGGCTGTACTTTTAGCATCAACAGAGGAAGAAAATTTCCCGTTCTCGCTATCTCTCAAAGCTGCGGTAACAGCAGCCGTTTACACCGGCAATTCTTGCTGCGTCTAGCGCGATTTTCGTCTTCTGACGCATGTGAACGAGTAGATGAGTTATGAATGTTCAGAGCATAAGCATAGAATATATAATCGACCAGAAGTCTCACTGTACACCTTTCCTTAACATTTTCGTGTCCGCGATTTTCGCCTTGCGGATCACAAATTTCGCACGCTAGATGACGTGTGTGACACTTGCTGCGAACATCACGTCAGCGTTCGTCAGCAAATTACCTGGTAATGGCAATTGATGGCGTAATTGCTCGCGTTTTATGGCGTGGATTACACTTGCTATCTCGGACATAATTTTGGCTGAGTGAGGCTTCTGGTCTTATTTTCTATTCTGTGGCATAAGTTCCCTCATCTGAACATTCATAACTCATCCACTCATTCACATCCATCAGAAGAAGAAAATCGCGCTAAAAATCGCAGCAAAAATTGCAAGTATAAACAGGCCTTTAGGTTTCTTCAAAATACTTTCAGGAGAATTATGGAATTTATAGACATGATAGAATCTTGTCTACATGGGCTGTTTGCCATTTCACCCGTATAGCGTAGGGCCGTCAATCGGCAAATTGTTTTCGTAGTCGGCGAGAATATTTGAGTGACGGCTGATTATTGCAAAAATTTTGATAAATGTACGAAAATATTACTGAAAAGCTCGCTCAAACGTAGATGAAAGTTGCAACTTCGTTACAATTTGAGCTCGTTAAAATTTTGATGAGAGTTGTGAGAGTTTTTGCTACGCGCGTGGTAATATCCACTCAACTGAATTCAACTCTCATGCAACTTGTGTTCTCGTTTGGATCGAGGCATTAGTTGAGAAAACTCTCATGCAAACTCTCGCTTTAACTCTCATCAAATCTCATCCTCGTTTGATCAGGGACTTCAATAATTAAGACTTGTCAATCACCGACTATCGTTTGGCAACATCCCAGATTAAACGCGAAGATAATCCACAATTATCAATCAAACAGCGTTTGTTTTACAAATTTAAAGCCGTATAGTGTATTTACAAACGTTTAGCAGTATATATGATCTGTAAATTCCTAGCTTTACAACTTTCATAATTCTTTACATCAAGCAGTAAATTCTTGCCGTTTTTAGTAAAATTATTCGGCATAAGAAATAATGTTGTTAACACACACTGACCATTTTTCACTGCCTTACATAAACTGGGTATGCATTGATCCGTTAACGAACACTGATAAAGATCCAACTCAGTAAGCTTACAATGCTCTTTTGTCAGGGCATCTTCAAACAACATACATGCACCTTTGTCACCTATGGCATTGTACGCCAGTGATAGATCAGTCAGTTGACAACGTTCATCTTGGAGTGCCTTACACAAAATGGGTATGCATTCATCCGTTAACAAACACTCGTCAAGATTCAACCTAGTAAGCTTACAATGCTCTTTTGTCAGAGTATCACATAATTCCATTCCACCCTCATCACGTATTCAATTACTTTCAAGATTCAAATGTACAAGATTTGGGCAATGTCCATTGTTAAGGACTTCACAAAGTTTAGAAATTTTATGTGAATCAATTTCACTAGAACTTAGAGTTAACTGCTCAAGTTGGCTCGCATGCCTGTTTTCAAAAAATTTGCATACGATTGGTAAACCTGTTTCGGTCACGCTCAAATGATTAGTTGTCAACGAAGTCAGCTTCGTGTGTTTGTGGTCCACTGTACAGTTTACTTCCATTAATGCGCTAAATACTTCGTCTGCAATACCAAATACTCCCAAATTCATCTTTAGTTTATTTAGGCATCTTTTTCGTAGCAATCCTAGAATCTCCGGAAGGTAATGTGTGTTCCATCCAAACAATGTCAAATTTGCCAATTTTTTCATGTGTTTACAAACGAAAGTCACTGCTGCCCAGTCACTTGGAGAAAGATAATAAGATTCTGTATCAATGCATAGTTCTACCAAATCGTTTATAGCAGTTGCTTCGCAAATTTCTTTAGTAATCTCCTCATTGTCTACTTCCCTTAAACACTTCATTATAAATACTTCAGGGTATTTAACTTCAATTTCACCATTAGTAACTTTCAAGCTTTCTACAAACGCGAAAACACTATCCTTGTATTCCCTATCAAAATCCCTGATTTTCTTGCCCAAAAGTCCTGCAATAAACTGAAGAACCAAATGCCATTTTGCACTTTCAACATTTTTGGAAATAAACTTCTTTATTTTGGGTGGAGCGAGTATTTCAGTCACGTGTCTTGCAGCAAGAAATTCTTGTATGGTTAAATGTATAAAACAAAATTGTGTTCGTAGTGGGAAAATAGGATTGGATAAACTGTTCAATAAACCAGATTTTCTCATTTCTTCATCAAATAATGTTTGATTAAAAACCAGTTGCCCGCTTCCCATACCAACGAATGCTAATCGTTGAAGTTTCTTTAACGCTTCATGTGCCGTAGAGTTTCTGTCTGCATTTCTGTGATGATATTTCTCAAAATGAGCAATGGCTGTCTGGTAAAGTTCTGTCAGTGTAGTCGGAAGAGCACTAGTTTCATTTTTTGGGTCACCAAGACATCCAGAGAGGGTAACACACACTATAAAGCAGTTGACTGGAATGTAACATAAGTTTAACAGTTCTGATGAAGATTTTATGTGGTTCCATATCTTCGTTGTAAGGTTGCTCTTGTTATTATTGTCACAAAATCTGCTGACATATTCTTCAATTTTATCAGAAGTAAAACCAATAATCTCCACATTTCGATCAAAATCAAGTCTCGAGTAAAAATCATCTGCAGTCGGCCTGTTAGTTACCACAACCGTTGCTCCATTCAACAAGTCGCCCAAAACTAGTTTAATGAATAAATTCATTGCTGACGTGCCAGTATTAGGATCGTTTGGAATGATGTGAGATTGGTCTAAGCAACTTATGGGGTCGCCTGATATTCGTCTAAACCATCAAAAATAAGAATGGCTTTTTGTGGCTCTTTTGCAATTTCTTCGTAAATACTTTCGAACTTTTCTTCACTCAGTCCGTCCAGACCGAAGAAATGTTTTAACGGATATATTTGTTAATTCGTTAATATTCTCGTTGAACCATCTGAATTTGAAAAAGAAGACAATCTTGTGGAATAATATTCATCAATTCCATTAGCCCAGTCATGGAGAAGTTTTTCGGTCAACACGGTTTTTCCAATCCCAGGTCTTCCAATCGCCAGGACGCTACGAGGAAATTTTCCCTTTGTATCTTCATAGGGACGAAATATATCTCTTATCTTTTCTAAACGTATGGATTCTAAGGGAACTTTCATATAAACGTCGTAGATTTCGTGTCTTCCCATTTCTTCACAAAAATTATGCTGAGTTCGTCCAGTATGGATAACAACCTCAATATACAAATCATCTATATTAGCGTTTGGTCTATAGATTATGCCAGGATCACGAGATCGATTCAAAACTCCTTTCTTGTAAAAGTCAATACAGCCCTGAGTGCTACAGTACGTAGGGTTGCTTTCGATACCTGTTAAAGGTTCACTTTCACCACGTACATTAAATTGCTTGCCAAGAAGATATTCAATAACAAATTTAGAATCACAGCTCCAGACAACTCCAGAATGACGGTTGAGGATTGGTAAACGTTTTCTAATGTTTGTGACACAGCAATTTGAGTAAAATGAAACGGCAACTCAGTGTGTTTTTGTTGATATTCAACAGACAAGAGACAACAATTAAGTTATTTGAATGCATGGCTAAAGCTGTACAAAAGATGGAAAAATTGCATGGGGGAGATTTTGTGTCTTTGATATTGTTGAAAATTTTATTGTTGAAAATGGCGTAATCTTGTTTGTTATATCTACAGAAATGACTAGAAAATACCGAACATTCCATTTGTCTTGGCTGGGCAGATTTCCCGGTGTTGGACTTCCTGAAATGGTTGTATTTCACAATTATAAGCGTTGGCTGTCAGCAAGGTAAACTTCAGGTTCCGAAAAAGCAAGAAATGTACAAGCAGACAGTTTGAAAGTCTGTCAATATGACGTGATGAGCTGGATTCCCCACAGGCATGGGTCAAACTACTGACTCGTCCCCAGTCGTCTCTGTGAGCACGTGCGAATTGGAAAGCGCGCGCAGACGACTGGGGACGAGTCAGGGTCAAACTATGTATTAAATGATTGATAGTTATTTGAATGTATGGTTAGAGCAATTTAAAAGATAGCAACATTCCGTAGGGAGCTTTTGTATCTTTGATATTGTTGAAAATGGCGTAATCTTGTTTGTTATATCTACAGAAATGACTAGAAAATACAGAAGATTTTATTATATTTTATTATTTTGTACAGAGTCGACGTAAACATGCTTTCATGAATGTCTCAAACTTTATGAAATAGTTGTATTTCATGAATATTGTATAAGCGTTAGGTTTCTTCGAAATACTATCAGACGAATTATGGAATTTATAGACAGACATGATAAAAGCTTGTCTACATGGGTTGTTTTCCATTTCAACCGTTTCCTACCGAAACGTAGCGTCATACCGCGCGGACTTTGTGGACCCTATGAAGAAAATATCTGTGCTGAAGTTACACAAACATTTGGTCGGTTTCAAAACCAAACTGTATTTTTATATCTGAAGTTGCGCATGCCATATTTCCAGGTCAGGGGTGGGGGGGGGCGGTGGTGTGGGGTGTGACACCCCCTGAAAACATGTTTTCGGTAAAATAGCGGATTCATCGACAAATTGTTTTCGTGGTCAGCGAGAATATTTTAGTGGCTGGGATTAATTAACAATATACCGTATTTACTCGATCTAGCGCCGCCCCCGAATGAGCGCCGCATTTGAGATCATTTTTTTTTTAAAGAGCGCCGCCCCCGAATGAGCGCCGCACTAAACAGTGTAATAATTTTCCACCGTCAAAATGGGGACATTTAGTGATAAAGATATTCAAAACTTGTTTATTTTATTGTTAAAAGTTCTTGATATAATTCACAAATAAAAGTTTTTTTAAAGAACGCCGCCCCCGATTGAGCGCCGCCCTCGAATGAGCGCCGCATCCGGAAGCTCTGAAAATTTAAAGAGCGCCGCGGCGCTCAAACGAGTAAATACGGCAGTCACCTCAGGCTCGGTGATTATTTAACAATTATTCGCCGAAAACGAGGTGATTATCGGTGAATAAAAACAGAGACAAAGTCGAGGTTTTTATTCACGATAATCACCGAGCCTGAGGTGAATAATTGTTTTAGTATAATTTCGTAAGTGATTATTTGGAGAAAATAAAATATACTCATTTCTTCGTCATTTAATTGACAAAACGGCTTCGGACGCCATTTTGAAAATCGCTTAGGTGATCATCGCGTAATAACCACCTCAACGGCAACCAATCAACGTGGAGAATTTTCAATAATCACCTGTGTAATTATACTAAAAGCCTTTATTATATAAAGTATAGTGCTTCATAGAGATTTCGAGTACTGGTAAAATTGATAATCTCACATGTGTGAGGTTATTTATGATAATTTCACGTGTGAAAATTACCGCTTTTCAATCGCTTTTCCGCTGTAAAAATATCGTTTTTCAAAGTGGATGCGTTTTTCAATGATGGATTATGTTCAACACTCGAAATAAATCTGGTATTTCCGCGCACACGTGTATTATTCTCTATGTGATCACCGAGCCTGAAGCGACTAACTGTTTTTAGTATAATTTCAGTATTGAAAAAGTTTTAATCATAAATACAACTAATACACGTGTTTATTTTATGAATATAATTTGCATAAGTAAATTACATTCATCTTATTTTCAGCCATTTTTTTTGAAAAGCAATGCAATAGTTACTGCTCAGAGCAGTCTGAGTAACTATTATTTATGCAAATTATATTCAAAGATAATCTACAATTATCGATGAAACAGGATTTATTTTACAAATTTAAAGCGTATAGTGTATTTACAAAAATTTTAAGATCAGATATAATCTCCAGTGTACTCATCAGACATCAATTTGTAAACCCCTAGCTTTACAACTTTCATAATACTCTACATCACGAAGTAACTTCTCGCCGTTTTCAATAAAATTATTGAATTCTACTCCTAATCTTTTTAACACACACCGACCATCTTTTAGTGCCTTACACAAACTGGGTATGCATTGATCCGTTAACAAACACTCGCCAAGGGACAACTCAGTAAGTTTACAACGTTCGTTTGTCAGGGCATCTTTAAACAACATACATGCACCTTTATCACCTATGGCATTGCCCCACAGTGATAGATCAGTCAGTTGACAACGTTCATCTTGCAGTGCCTTACACAAACTGGGTATGCATTGATCTGTTAACGAACACTTACGAAGAACTAACGTGGTAAGCTTGCAATGCTCTTTTGTCAGGGCATCTTCAAACAACATACCTACTCCTTTATCACCTATGGCATTGAACCTCAGTGATAGAACAGTCAGTTGGCAACGTTCATCTTCCAGTGCCTTACACAAACTGGGTATGCATTGATCCGTTAACGAACGCGCAGCAAGACTCAACTGACTAAGCTTACAATGCTCTTTCGTCAGGGCATCTTCAAACAATGTACCTACACCTTTATCACCTATGGCATTCCACTCCAGTGATAGATCAGTCAGTTGACAACGTTCATCTTGCAGTGCTTTAACTAGCGTAGAATACATTCATCTGTTAACTCACACTTACGGACGTGCAATGTATTAAGTTTACAAAGCCCTTTCGTCAGAGTATCACACAACACCATTACACCCTCATCACGTATTGAATTATATCCAAGATCCAAATGTGCAAGATTTACACAATGTCCATTGTTAAGGACTTCACAAAGTTTCGAAATTTGATGTGAATCAATTTTTATAGAATCTAGAGTTAACTGCTCAAGTTGGCTCGCATGTCCGTTTTCAAAATATTTGCACACGATTTGTAAACCTGTTTTGGTCATGCGCAAATAATTAAGTGTCAACGAAGTCAGCTTCGTGTGTTCGTGCTCCAATGTGCAGTTTAATTCCATTAATTAACTTGGTCTATATCGTCTGAAATCGAACACTGCATATTTAGTTTACTTAGGCATCTTTTACGTAGCAATCCTAGAACCTCCGGAAGACAATCTTTGCCCCATCCAAACAATGTCAAACTTGCCAATTTTTTCATGTGTTTGCAAACGAAAGTCACTGCTGCCCAATCACTTGGGGAAAGATTAAAAAATCGATCAGTGCATAGTTTTACCAAATTGTTCATAGCAGTTGTTTCGCAAACTTCTTTAGTAAGCTCTTCGTCGTCCGCTTCCCTTAGGCACTTCATTATAAACACTTCACGGTATTCAAGTTGAGCCTGACCACTAGTAACTTCGAAGCTTTCTACAAACGCGAAAACACAATCCTTATATTCCTTATCAAAATTCTTGATTTTCTTGCCCAAAAGTCCTGCAATGAACTGAAGAACTAAATGCCATTTTCCACTTTCAACATTGTCGGAAATGAACTTCTTTATTTTGGCTGGAGCAAATGTTCCAGTCACGTGTCTTGCAGCAAGAAATTCTTGAACGGTTAAATGGATAAAACAAAATTGGGTTCGTAGTGGGAAAATAGGATTGGATAAACTGTTCAATAAACCTGATGTTCTCATTTGTTCATCAAATGATTCTTGCTCAAAAACCAGTTTCCCGCTTTCCATACCAAGGAATGCTAATCGTTGAAGTTTCTTTAACACTTCATGTGCCGTAGAGTTTCTGTCTGCATTTCTGCGATGATGTTTCTCAAAATGATTAATGGCTCTCTGGTAAAGTTCTGTCAGTGTTGTTGGAAGAGCACTAGTTTCATTTCTTTGGACACTAAGACATCCAGAGAGGGTAACACAGACTATGAAGCAGTTGACTGGAATGTAACATAAGTTTAACAGTTCTGATGAGGATTTTATGTGCTTCCATATCTTCGTTGTAAGGTCGCTCGTGTTATTCTTGTCACAAAATCGGCTGACATATTCTTCAATCTTATCGCAAGTGAAACCAATAATCTCCACATTTCGATCAAAATCAAGTCTCGAGTAAAAATCCTCTGCAGTCGGTCTGCTCGTTACTACAACCGTTGATCCTTTCAATAAGTCGCCCAAAACTAGTTTAATGAATAAATTCATTGCTGACGTGCCAGTATTAGGATCGTTTGGAAGGCAAGATTGGTCTAAGCAACTTATGAGGTCGCCATGATATTCATCTAAACCATCAAAAATAAGAATGGCTTTTCGTGGCTGCTTTGCAATTTCTTCATAAATACTTTCGAACTTTTCTTTACTCAGTCTCGTCCCAAATCGAAGAAATGTCTTAAGGGATATATTTGTTAATGTGTTAATATTCTCATTGAACCATCTGAATTTGAAAAAGAAGACAATCTTGTCGGAATAATATTCATCAATTCCATTAGCCCAGTCACGGAGAATTTTTTCGGTCAAGACAGTTTTTCCAATCCCAGGTCTTCCAACTGCCAAAATTCTGCGAGGAAATTCTCCCTTTGTATCTTTGTTTGGATAAAATAACTTTTTTATCTTTTCTAAACGTATAGCTTCGAAAGGAACTTCCATATAAACATGGTAGATTTCGTGTCTGTCCGTTCTTTTGAGTAAACTGGTAAATTCGCGTTTAGACCGTTCAGTGTGGATAACTACGTCAGTGTACAAATCGTCGAAATTAGTTTTTGGTATATAATTTATGTCAGGTGCGTGAGAACGATTCAAAACTTGTTGTTTGTAAAAGTCTATAGATTCTAGAAGGTTCTTATTGACGCTTGTTATCATTTCCAGTTCATCAAGCACATCATCTCGCTTACGAAGAAAATAAGCTGTGACAAATTCAGAATCACAGCTCCAGCCAATTCCTGGACGACAGTTAAGGATTGGTAAACGTCGCCAAAGATAAATGATTTCCACAAGTATAACTAAAACAAATATACTGTTTATTACAGACACAATAATGCCCCATAACCATTTCTCTGACGCTGTCGCATTCTCACAATTTATCGATGTACTATTCAAATTACGCCTCACATTCTTTGGTGTATTGATGTTGAATGTTACTTCCGCTGGTGGTAAATTACAGCTGAATTTCAAATCGAAACCATTAGGATAGAAATATGTGTGTTGTACAACAGTAAAAATGATCCCAAATAACGAACGCACAACGAGGTGGATAAAATAGCGATAAAATACATAAAAAATTCTCTTGTTCTGTCCATGGACCAGATGTTCAACTTCGCCATCAGTTTGTCGTTCATGGCTTGACTCTATTTCGTCGACACGAGCGCTCACTAGCAGTGAATAAATAACACTGACAAGAACTGACAATCCAATACTCAGTGTAACAAAGCCATATAAAGGCAGAGGGGAATTATAAGCCTGATCATATCTTGCAAAACATGCCTGATCGACCTGTTTCTTATACGTGGCCGTACTTTTAGCATCAACAGAGCAAGAAAATTTCTCGTTCTCGCTTGCCCTCAAAGCCGCGGTAACAGCAGTAAATACCAATCCACAAAGGAAATGAACAATCACACATATATAAGCGACAATGCCAAATCTTTTCGGTGTTAAATAATCCTTGACGGCGTCTATCATCTTAATATTTAATAAACTACATCTCTGAAACTTTGGTCTGTGCACTTTAATGTTTGTGCACAGCAATTTGGGTAAAATGAAGCGGCCACTCTTGATATTCGACTGACAAGGGACAACAATTAAGTTATTTGAATGCATGGCTAAAGCTGTACAAAAGATGGCAAAGATGCATGGGGAGCTTTTGTGTCTTTGATATTGTTAAAAGTTAATTGAAAATGATCTAAAATTAAGTTTCTGAATATATAGAAATGACAAGGAATACAGGAGATTCCATTTTTTTTTTATTGGGCAAAAATAGGGCTGAAAATATTGTTGGGCTGAAATAGCTGTATTTCACAATTATAAGCGTTGGCTCTCTGCAAGATAAAGTTCTGGCCAAAAAAGCAAGAAATGTACAAGCAGACAGTTTAAAAGTCTGTCAATATGACGTGATGAGCTGGACTCCCCACAGACATTGCGCAAAGTGATGTGTTAAATCAGTATTTGAATGCATGGTTAGAGCAATTCAAAAGATAACAACATTGCGTAGGGTTTTTTGTGTCTTTGATATTGTTGAAAATGGCGTAATCTTGTTCGTTATATCTACAGACATGACTAGAAAATACCTAACATTCCACTTTTCTTAGCTAGGCAAATTTCCCGGTGTTGAACTTCCTGAAATGGTTGTATTTCACAATTATAAGCGTTGGCTCTCTGCAAGATAAACTTCAGGTCCCGAAAAGCAATAAATGTACAAGCAGGCAATTAAAAGTCTGTCAATATGACGTGGTGAGCTGGACTGCCCACAGGCATGGAGCGAAATATGTATTAAATTATTTATATGAATGAATGGTTAGAGCAATTCAAAAGATAGCAGAATTGCGTAGGGAGAGCTTGTTGAAAATTTTATTGTTGAAAATGGTGTAATCTTGTTTGTTATATCTACGGAAATGACTAGAAAATACCGAACATTGTATTATCTGAAATACGTATTAAATGATTGATAGTTATTTGAATGCATGGTTAGAGTAATTCAAAAGAGAGCAACATTGCGTAGGTAGACTACGACATACAAATTCCGCCCACGAGCCTCTGTGACGCAGCTATGCGTAGGGAGCTTTTGTGTCTTTGATATTGTTGAAAATGGTGCGAAAATAATTTTCTATTTATATTAGAAACAACTAGCTAAAACATTCCGAAGATTTCATTATATTTTATTATTTTGTACAGAGTCGAGGTAAACGTCCTTTCATGAATGCCCCACACTTTGTGAAACAGTTGTATTTCATGAACATTATATAAGATGTCTTCAAAATACTTTCAGAAGAATTATGGAATTTATAGACAGACATGATAAAATCTTGTCTATTTTGTCCATTTTCGGTTGTTGTCCATTTCAACCGTTTCGTACCGAAACGTAGCGACAGGGTCGTCGCTATGACACTCCCTCTGAAAACATATTTTCGACAAAATAACGATTTATCGGCAAATTGTTTTCGTAGTCAGCGAAAATATTTGAGTGGCTCGGAATAAAAAGCAATAGTTATACTGAAAATATATCCCCCCCCCGTTCGCCAACAATTTTAGAAATGAAATATTGATTTGCGACTGAAATGTTGTCGGCAAATGCGATACTACACCCCCTGCTTTAGCCTCTTCGCTATACGGCCTTACATATCTCTTCTACAGTATATACGTATTATGGTCACATAGTAAATACATACAGAGGTCTCACTTCTTATTAATTTTATCCTAAGGGGCTGTCACCCCCCTGAAACCATATTAAAATTTAACGTTCAAGGGGGTGAATGCCGGTCTTTAGGGCACTTGCCAAGATCGTGGCCGCCAGATATGCGAAGTAAAAACTACCTTACGAAGTAAGACCTCTGTATGATTAGTACTCTGTGTTATGGCAGAGCACTTATTACATGAACGTCTTATATCCTGTATTATCCTACCTTTTTACCTCGTTGTCCAGTAGGTCCCGGCATTCCTGGTCCTCCACGATCCCCCTGAAAATATTGACAGTGTCCATTACTCAAATAATATCTCGATGAAGCGCCTTCGCTTGAAGTTCAGATTATATTTTTTAGATACACACGTAAAAATCTCACAACTTGTCAACAAGATGTGTTCGCAACAGGCTTGTAGCAAGCTTGTCAACAAGTTGTAACAGTGCCATACTGTTATTTTATCAAGTTGCTACAAGGTTGTCGCTCACAACTTGTTGACAAATTGTTGAATTGCTGGACGATAACAAGTTGTCGGAAGAACTTGTAACAAGTATGTTGAGTTCAAAAACCTTGTAGAGAGTTATCGACAAGCTCGAAACAAGCAAGTTGTTGGAACAGCATTGCTGCAGGTCTGCTGTGTAATATATCTACAGGTATCTCAATCGTCGCTACGACAAGTTGTTATAGGTTGTATTTGCACTGCTTGTTGCTTTTTTTCCAGTTGTTGTTGGAACAAGTTTGGAACAAGCTGTTTAACAACTTGTAACAAGCTTGATGGCATTATCGGACTTGTTACAAGGTTGTTCTAACAAGTTTGATACAGTCATGATATACCAGTAATGTTACAAGGTTGACGACATCAGGTTGTAACAATACTGTTATATCATGACTGTATCGGACTTGTTGGAACAACCTTGGAACAAGTCTGATAATATAACAAGGGTGTTACAAGTTGTTAACAACTTGCTCCAAACTTGTTGACAACTTGGGCCAAGCAGTGGGAACACAACTTGTTGACAACTTGCGACAAGCAGGGCAACACAACTTGTTGGCGGCTTGTTGGCAGACATTTGCTACAAGATGTGAGATTTTTGCATGTGTAGACAGGCACTGATCCTTTGATGCTTTACTACTTCAAACGTATTACCACTTACATGTAATCCTTGCGGTCCAGGAAGTCCAGAAAGCCCCTTTTCACCCTAGTAACAAAATTACTGATAAGCCTCACCACCAATAATAAGCCTTACAATAAGTCTTTGATAAATTCCTATACTATGTTAGCTTCGCAATGAGAATCACATCAATATGGCTTCAAACCTTGATTCCTTCTTCCGCGCGTTTTCCCTGATCGCCAGTAGCGCCTGTTTCACCCTGTGAAAGTTGAAATCGGATGATCAAGTGGAAAAGGTACACATGGTATACAAGAAAAGACAAAGAATTTTGTCCCAGATGTCTTGCACAGTCAAAACCAATGGACCATTTGCATTATAGACTAAGTTTTGATCTAAACAAGTACAGATAAAAATTTCATCACAGCTCGAAAGAGCATCACAAAATTAGTAATATTCCAAAATTTCTTTGCGAAATGTTGTAAAATACGGATAACATAACCTTGCGAAGTTTGCCGTTTTTCAGTCATTTTGCATTACGCGTGGGAAATTGACAGCCCAATACCCTTAGGGGCTGTCAATTTCCCGTTTGTAATAGAAAATGACTGAAAAACGGCTATATTATCCGCATTTTACAACATTTCGTAACGAAACTTTGGAATATTACTAATTGTGTGATGCTCTTTCAAGCTGTGATGAAATTTTTATCTAGACTTGTTTAAATCAAAATTTAGTCTATAATCAGTATAATGCAAATGGTCCATCACTCTGTAATACAATTTAATAGTGAGCTGCTGCCGTTTACTGGCTGCCAATATGTTAATTAGGTTGGCAGCCAGTACACAATGCGGACACTCTTTGACGCTGAGTGGCCCTTCCCTATACTGTGGTCGTGCTTCTCCTGTGTTGAATGCTTTAGAAACAATCTATTGTTTTAATGTGTTTGGCACATGAGAAGCGCGACGTTTGAAACATGCCTCATAGCCTGGGTTAGTGGCTGAAAAGTATGCCTGTTTTAGGCATGCTCCGTAGGGCGCTTTTCAATAACACGGCCAGACCGGCCAGAACGGTCAAATTATTGAATGGAACACAAAACACTTGGGCTTCGGACCTAACTGACCGGAAAATTTAGATAACATTAGAATGAGGTTCATTTTCGCTACATGTTTGAGAAACATAGACCAGATCTTTCCATTAACATCAGAGAAAAAAATGGAAAGCGCCCGTAGCCTGGTTTGTAGCTATAAGGTACGCCTGCTTTATGCATACCGTATACCCACAGTTTGTGACTGTAAAGTACACCTGTTTCGGGCATACCTTATAGCCAGAGTTTCTGGCTATAAAGTACGTCGGATTTCGGCATACCATGTAGCCACGGCTCTGCAGCATTTGGCTACATAAAAATACAATGTTGAGATGTTTATATAGAAAATTTCTTTGTTTATTCTAAACTAAAATATTGAAGCTAAACAGCAATTTCCAGACAATTCGTCTCAACTTACTTGGTCCCCTATGTCCCCCATTGATCCTCGTGCTCCAATAGGACCTGGATCACCCTAAAGACAAAAATTATCCCCGGTTCAAAACCTGAGTCACAGAGTACTTACATACAGAGGTCTCACTTCGGGTTAAATTAGCGTAAGTGATTTTTCAGTCCGCCATGTTCTTAGCAAGTGCCCTAAAGAAAGGCCATCACCCCCCTGAAAACATATCGAAATTTAATGTTCCAGGGGGGGGGGTGAATGGCTCTCCTTAGGGCACTTGCTAGGAACATGGACGCCAGCTATTTTGGAAGAAACTGCCCATGTAAATACTCTGTGACCTCAGTCTAAATCTAAAGTATCATATCTTAGAATACATTGATATCGAAGGAACTAGACTCAGTTCCGAAGTATCACCAATTCGAACCGACTTGACCTCGTAACTCAGTTGGTAGAGCATTGGACTAGTATCCCAAAGGTCACGGGTTCGATTCCCACCGTGGTCAGGCAAACTTTTCAGCTTGCCCGGTGTGAATGCACACTCAGAGTAACATCACAAACATCATGTTCACCTGAGTAGATAACACAAACACACAAAAATTACACATACCCGTTCTCCACGCATGCCTTTTGGCCCCTCCTCGCCATCTGCCCCGGGGGCACCCTGCAAATATAGTTACAATTAGTCGAAAGTTTCCCAAAGGACATGTTACACGCTTTCTTGCAACGTGCAACGCAATGTCTATCTAACCATAGATAATCCAGAAGACAGGAAGGATTGTCTATCTTGAAGGATTGAAGGATTGTCTGTCTTGTCTTCTGGATTGTCTATGATCTAACATATAAGTCACGCGACCTTGATTTCCAAATGGTCGTAATGATCGTAAAAATAGAGTCATGATCTTTCTCAACGGCCAGTTTATAATAATTAATACCTGTAAACCACATTTAAATCATAAGTATTCTCTAGTTATAATCACTCCGCGTATTTAGTTCAGTTCTAAGATTTTGCATTTCGGCTGATTAGAAAGATCGTAACTCAATCTTTACGAGCATACGAGAACCAGATTCTAGATCACATTTTCATTTCAAATACCAACACTGCACTCTTTTGAAAGTTTATCCATCTTTGGAAAGTAAGCGTGTAAGGTCAATAGATAATGAGATGATAAAACTCATTAAGCTTCATTATCTATTGTTTGAATTGCATTCGACGCGACCAAAATTCGACGTATAAAACAGGCCTAAGCGTAACATAACGAACTTGAAATTTGTTGTCAGCTCATATGCATTCCACAGCGCTGAAAGAAGTGCCGGTTATTCGAATATTTACCTGTTACGTCCCTTGGGGAATTAAATGATCTCGCAAATTTCAAGACAAATATTTTGTTCAAAAATTTGCCAAATAACTCCGGGCAAAAACGTTGAATATTTTGACAACAAGAATATACTTATAGTCTTTTGTTTTATAGAAAAGATTACGCGGTACATAGTTCACGGTTTTGGTTTGAAAATATGGAAAATACGGAAAGCGAAACAAGATTCTGGGGCCGACGAGAACGGAGTAAACACAACGCGATGGAAAGAAAACGTAGATTAATCATTAAAAAACAAGTGAAAAAGCTAGAGGAATGTCTACCAAATATTAAACCAGTAAAAGGGCGAAGATTTTCGAGAATTTTGATCGTACAGAAAGCAATTTCGCATATTAACGAGATGAGCGAAGCGAACAGCAGTCTTCATGAGGAAAATTTGTTACTTGCTCATGAAAATACGGTATTGCAAAGGCAAATGAATGAATTAATTGAACAACGAAAACAAACTGGTGAAGTTTCTTCGGAGACAGAGGAAATAGAGGACTCTATTTTGGGCAGTTCGGATTCGGATGAGACGTCAAGCTTGTTTAATGAAGCCGTGAATTTCGAAGAGGGAATTACTGGATTTATGATGGATAACATAACACAGTCCGAATTTTGGTCGCTCGGCCAAGAACTTGAATAGTTTTAACTTTTAAGAAAGGTTTAAATGTTTTAGTGCCTGCATTAAATGCAAGAATATTTTGATATATGAAAGCAATAATTTTTATTGATAATATACGTATTCATTGAGTGTGTGCGATCGTCAAATATACGTTCTTAAAATTGTATGATATTTATATAAATGAATTTTAAATAGCACGACATGTTAATTTCAAATTGTATTCCTTTTGTGTATGTAGTAATTTCAAACTGTGTTACAATGCTCTTGTGTATTTTATTTGAATAGAAATACTTCCTATCGTTAGTTCAATAAACGTTTTCAGTCTTGTGTGAATTTCTGCTCGGCAAATCTTTAAATCTTGTTATAATATGAATGCTATTAAGCGCTACGCCGAACACAAGAGTGCAAAACACAATTGAAGTAAATTTTAATTACCAGGGGCAAAATATATTGTGCTTTAACAGCATGAGCTTGCCAAAACAGGTCCAAAGTTAGGTATCTGATGGGGTATATTGTACACGGAAATTGTCGAGTGGAAATTTATATACATTTATTATAGACTTAACCAGGAACAGAAGCGAATGTATATATAAAATGAAATGTATATAAATTTCCATTCGACGATTCCATCTGCAATACCATTAAATATTATTCATTATAGTGAGATGCCACAAGAATCTTGATATTTATACCCAAAATTATAGGCACACTGCCAAATTTGTAAACACGCTTCTTAATATACTTAACATACAGCAGCAGAACACCTTACTATATAGACGATTTAACTCGCGTATAACTCATCTCACAAGCCTATACAGGGTGTATAAAAAAAAACTGAACAGATTTGAAATCGCTCTCAATTTCGCAAAACACCTATTTGTATCCCTTTTTTATATATAGCTTCTTTAGGTACTTATAATGTAGAATAATGAAAAAAAATTATCAAACTCAAATTTGGTGAACCAGGGGAGGGTGTCTTTTCCAACAAACTAAAAATGGCTCGCGCACAAAATTTAAAAGTTTTAATCATATTTTGTGTTAATAGATGGAAACTTTGTTCGATTTTAATTACTGTACAAAATTTCAGACAATTTGGTTTAGTTTAAGCCGTTTAACTATTCATTTTATTCTAAAAAATCAGCCTTTCGCATGCTTAATTAATGCATTTACCTAATTTGCATATTGCTAACATATACAAATTAGGCAAAGCATTAATTAAGCATGCAAATAGCTGATTTTTAGGAAAAATGTAACTTTGCGTGAACAGTTAAACGGCTTAAACTAAACCAAATTGTCTGAAATTTTGTACAGTAATTAAAAACCCGACATATTTTCCATCTATTAACTCAAAATATGATTACAGCTTTTAAATTTTGTGCGCAAGCCATTTTTATTTTGTTGGAAAAGACACACCCCCCTGGTTCACAATATTTGAGTTCAAGATTTTTTTTCATTATTCTATATTTTAAGTACCCAAAGAAGCTATATCTATAAAAAACCGGATACAAATCGGTGTTTTGCGAAATTGAGAGCAATTTCAAATCTGTTCAGTTTTTTTTGATACACCCTGTATAGTCAACTTTATCGCAATAACTTATAAGTGTTAACAAAAATTCTTGTGAAATCAACAGCAAATTAAAAAAAAATTATGCGATTGTGTGTTTAAATTAAATAAGGATTGTCATCAATGGTAAATATCTCGCACTTTGGCTTAACTTTTCATCACACCACACCTTGTTATGAAGCTTTATATCTTGTTTGGTCAAATTTGGTGATCAAGGAAAAAACGGATCATTACGCAGTATTCTAGTTCTTTTATCTTTGGAAACTCGGTTGTCTTGATGGACATGTTCCGCATTCTTGATTTTTTTCAATTTCCGATACAAAGAACTACACTCATGTTAATAAAATGAATAAAAGGATGTTATATTCGCTACTTGCATATGCGTCGTCCAAGGTCAAATGATAAAAAAACAATTTCCCTTAATTAAACTGGCGCAAGATGCGATTTTAGTCGGCCGATAAAAATCGTTTAACTAAAACTAACAAAATCGTTGTGTGTGCGGTGTCATTTTTAACCGATTTTTGTAGCTCGATTTTAATCGGACAACATCAGAACGTTTTGATATTATACGATTTTTATCGGTGGAATTTTAAGTATAACCAATCAGATTTCATGCTGTGATCACGTGCTTGTATTTATTTGGCAACATGGCGGCTACAGTTACCATATTTTTTTCGTAATCGTGTGCGGAGTATACCGATGTATCTCGGTATGTCAAACGATTTTTATTGGCCGACTAAAATCGCATCGTGTGCGCCATTGTGCGCCAGGCTTAATGTTTAAAATCCGATCCGATATCGTCTAATGAATTAATTATCCACGCATTATTGCAAGAATTAATTATCCATGCATTTATGAAAGCATTATCGCGGTTGTCGCTGCATTTTTCGTTTGATACTTCAATTGGACGTCACTTTGTCAGCTTCTTGACATGTATTTCTTGTTTTTATATTTATTTGGTTAAACATTTCAACTTGAATGAGAAATTTATTTTGTTAAAGGATTCTTCGGATCGGATTGGAATTCTTTATTACAACTCGGATCGGATTCGGATTTTATTTCGAATATCGAAGTCCGATCCGATCCGACTGCGAAACAACTTTATCAATCCGACCAGAAATGTATATTTTTGTTCCGAAATCCGAACGAATCGGATTTGCACACCTCTAATCTCAACCGCCATGGTTTTGTTGAGTTGGTCCCTGGGGAATGAGTGCAAACGCTCTATAGCCTGGTAGGACCATGACTGTACCATATCGCCTGGTAGAATCATGACTACACCATATAGCCTGGTAGAACCATGACTACACCAGGGTTCGTACATGTGAGGAAGAGTGAAATTCAAGGACTTTTCAAGGACACTCAAGGCCATGTATCAGCAAATTCAAGGACTAAATACTGAAGAAAAGGGGTTAGAATTTCAGAAAATATCGAAAAACAAAAGCAAGAAAAATTTAAGGACTTTCAAGTACTTCTTTACAAATTCAAGGACATTCAAGGCCTTGAATTTTTGTATTCTGCCCCGTACCCCTAGATAAGACCCTG